CATTACTTCTTTACAGTACAAGGTGTAAAGTCAGTTTGTGAGTGAAATCATTTTTAATTTATCTGGAAATTCCACAAAGAGAATAAACGTTGATTGACGCCAGTTTGAATCCCACAATGAATATTAGTTTAGCCAAAGTCATTGATAAGCATTATATATAGGTGTCACCCAGTACGAAACTTTATCTAGGCTCTTTCTCCAAACCGCCTCTAAACATATGACATTTAATAAATAATATCATTCAACTTAATGAATAAGTTGTCAAGGTATTCGAGTACAGTATTGTTCAACATATCAGGTGATACCATCTTGAGACTGACAAATCCAACAGTAAATAGAATAGAAGCCAATAAATTTCATCTTAACTTCTGTATAAAGAGAATAGTTTTAGACGTTTTTAAAGAATATATATGTACATATGTTCTAATTTTGCTGATGTTTAGACGAAATTGTAAAATAAATCAATAACATTTTACGAAATTACTTGTGGCACCTACGAAAATTACCAATATTAAAACAGAAGGGGTTTTATGGAGATTTCAATATTTTCATGGTTGAAAGCATGAATCAATTGAAGCTAGACCACCAAAGAGAACTTGGAAGCAATGGAAGGCTGTTTCGTCCTATTTTGGTACTCCTCAGCAGTGCGCATTCACGTTACTGTCTCACGAGACTCAAGCCTAGGACCTTCCAGTCTCGCGCCAGATTACTTAACCGATAGACCACCGAACCGGCATCAAAGTATGGTGTTAATGTCTAACTTCAACCAATCCACGAAGTTGAGCAACCGTTCATCGATTGTCTTCAGTAAGTTCCTATCTCACAACAGACGTGGCTTCAACTCCACTGGTCACTGCTTGTCACTAGAACTCCAGGAAGTACGTCTTGAAGTAAGTCATTAGAAATTCATATACTTAAAGCTGTAGTTATGGAGGAACGTTCTTCAAAAAAATTCCATATACTGATTCCTAATAATTTCTTCTATTTAATATATCAATTCGTAATGAAAATTAATTCTTAGTTGTATGAAAACTTACAAAAAATCACTTTAACAATGTTTAAATCCACTTGGTATTGTTTGTTTGAATCTCTTCATTGATGTTTAGGACTGCAATTGATCAGTCTCAAACAAATAATACCAAATAAATTTAAACTTCACCCCATTGCACAAGCAAGTGGCTATTAGGACTCAGTAGCTGATTGGATAACGCGATAGCGTTTGAAGCTAAAGGTACTGGGTTCGAGTTCCAGAGTGAACATCAACTCTGAAATGCAGGTATATTCAGTTGACGCGTCCTAAATAAGACGAAACGCGCATCAAAATGGATTCCACTGCTAGCCACTATTCATCTTTACTTTAATAATGTTTGGTTTTGTTTATAGTTATACAATGTGTTCATGTGAAGTAATTGATTTACAGATAATCTAAGTATCTTTTGTTATATCCCGAAGCGAATTATGAATTGTAACTTTGAGAACTATTTATGAACCAATATGATATGTATATTTCCTCTTGTATAATTGTTAAGTAACTAGACTATTCATATTCGTATCCCTCTTATTATAAGCCTTATTTTGATCTATAGACTATTATTATACGATTTACCATTCTTGAGTTATTCCCAGTCTATTGATTATTGTTCTCCCTATTCACAGCCACATTTGGCTAAATCTTGTACAAATGTTATTTTTTATTTTATGGTACGATGTGATCTGTCTGATTGGTATATAAACCCAGTATGTTTGAGAATAATGATTCATATTGCAGAGGCAGTTATTGGTGTTTTGGACTTAACTCGTTGGGCTAAGCTGAAAGCAAGACTGATAAGTACTCAAGACTGTTCATACGGTTTTCCGTGTATCATTGCTGTGATCGATAGTTCACTCCTCTCTGATTGGTGGGGGATCAGCACGTACGCATACACTCAACATAGCATCTTTTATGATGGAAACATTACAATATAAAAATAATTTTTTTTAATTTAATGGAATTTGGACAAAGAATATTCAAAGTTAATTCTTTTTGATTCCTCCTTCATATAACAGATTAAATGAACTGATAGATTATATAACATCCATACACTATTTACAGTGGATAATTTTCTATTTGCTTTAATAACTAATATTACTATCACGAATATTATAGTAATTTTAATAGTTGAGATCATGAATCAATTGAAGCCAAATCGCCATGGAAAACCTGGAATCACTGAACGGCCGTTTCATTCTATTGTGAGACTCCTCATCAGTGCGCATCCACGATCCCACCTCGTGAGATCCAAACTCAGGACCTTAAAATCGCACGCGCGAGCGCTTAACCTCTAGACCACTGAGCAGGCCAATATCCAACTCATGTTATCTAACCTCAACCGATCCACAAAATTGAACGAAACATCTACCATTGTCTTTAGTGAGTTACTGTCTCACAACAGACCTGGTTGTACTCCACTAGTCACTGCTTCTTACTAGAACTCCAGTAAACGGATTGGTCCTGGGATCGAATGTCTTGAGGCGGGACCATAAATGCGCACTGCTGAGAAGTCCCACAATAGGACGAAACGGCCGTGAAGTGATTTTATAATTATTGAAGTGTAACCACGAATATGTACATACATGAAGTCATCTGAAATCAACTTGTCAATTTTATGGAACATTCTTTTCAATGAAAATGTAACTATGTAACTTTAATTTCTCACATACTACAAATAATTTTGGTAACTGAATCATTGGAATTATTCTTTTGTTGAATTTACCGTATTGGTGAATATAGCAACTATAATAATAATAGTGTCCGAATAGTAGAAAAAGGTTGTTTTTTTTTAAACAAGTGCTCTCAAATTTTACTACATAAAGACTATTAAAAGAATCTATCTACTTACACCACTTTTATTTCGGTTAGATTAGTGTCATAAAAACTATAGATGTTTTCCAAGATTTGGAAAACAATTCTGTTTACCTGAAAAAACCAAAGTTCCCTCCCTCCTTCTTTATTTTTTTGGCATCAAATAATTGTAAGTTTTATTATCAGAAGGGGTTTTTGTGGAGATTTAGTATTTTCATAGTTGAAAGCGTCAGTCAATCGAAGCTAGACCACCAGGGAAAACCTGGAAGCACTGGGCGGCCATTGGAGTTAGACATAACCATCATCGGATGCCGACTCGGTGGTCTATCGGTTAAATGCTCTGGAGCGAGACTGGTAGGTCCTGGGTTCGAATCTCGTGAGGCGAGGTCGTGGATGCGCACTGCTAGGGAGTTTCACAATAGCACGAAACGGTCGTCCAGTGCTTTCAGGTTTACCTTGGTGGTCTAGCTACAATTGACTCACGCTTTCAATTATGAGTTTATTAAGTTAATTTGTGAAATTTTTGTTCCATCAAGAAAATGGTTCTTTATTAGATAAATTAGACACAACCGGAGGGGATCAAAAACCTTGGGAAACACTTATTGAATTAAATTTATCTGTTTTCTTAATAGTTTCAATTTAACTATTTCTGAAAGAAGGTAAATATCAAAAACATCCGTCCGAGCTACAAATCTTCTCCTACATTTACAGATGGTATTGAATGGCAGCTATGCTAAACTGCCAATGTCGACAGCCCAATTATTTAAAAAGTGAATTTATTATGGAATAATTTTTTTTCAGTGCACTCTTAAATCCTCAAAACGTCTCCTTCATTGATATTTGTTGATATTTTAGATGCTTGGAGATAGTCAACAAGAAGCCATAGATCTATGTTTCTTTCTAGTTGAAACCCGGCAGCAAGAGGCAGATGTGATTTCAAGGATATCAATTTTTCCAGTGTTGCTCGAACAAGAGCCACCCTACTGTATAGATTGAGACGTTACCACTGTGTTATTCAGGTCACGATCTGCCTACTGGAAGATTAAGATTACTCACTTTATATACTGATACCGTTCAATTTTTTATTAGATGGTATCAATTGAATGTGCAGTACAATCACTGGAAGCTTCATGTTGTTTCATAATCGTTAACAAGAGTGGGTACAAAACAAAGGCAGCAAACATTACTTTAACAGGATTTCCATTATACACGTTCCAGTATTTTTTTAATGATCTACTAACTTGGGTAGATGTTATTTAAATTAGTTTCACTTATCAAGGACAGTGTAAACGTACAGTATTGGCAAAAAGGGGAAATTTAATAATGACGCCAAGTAATAAAAATGATTACACATTTCATATACTTATAGTTTAACTTGTGGGATGGAATATAGTCAAAGGTGTAGGCACATCCAATACAGTTTTTGAGATGAATCGTGGCTAGCAGTGGAATCCAGGACTCGCTTTCCGTTCTATTTGGGACTCGTCAGCTGGACATACCTGAATTTCAGAGTTGATGTTCAATCTAGGACTATAAAATATTATTCTGAACGTGAAATTTTTTTGGCAACTGTCAACTACTTATCAATATAAATTCGAATACGAATATTAATTTCTTTACATCCATTTCATAAATATTACATAACTTGTAACACAGATACTGGGTTTCATTATTGTTCTCTACTTCTATTTCTACGCCCGTCTTATTCATTTCTTTATACTATTGTTGTAAACAGAATACTAATGGAGACAATCGAATGTATTTAGACACAAGTTACAGACTATCTCACTAAATTCTGATAACCATACAGCAAACAGGTAATTTGCAAAATAACCGTCAATTGTCTCAATCTTCACTGCTCCTTCTATAAATATCAGTTCATCTTCTCTGATTCCATTGTTCATGCATTTTCCTACCAATTACGCTTCATTTAAGTTCTTTCCTTATCGGTCTTCTGTCAAAATACATTCTATGTCTGACCATCACCATATACTACTTATGTGGATATAAGTAGACTACACTGCACTTTGACTTCATTTAATATATTTTTGTAATTAATTTAGAGATTTTAATCCCAATCTTGGCGATACAAACAAATGAATACAATCTCAACTATGTCAGTTTACCTAAGAAATTATTATTTATCTTATCTTTTCAGGAATTAACATGTACAGCGAAATCTGGAGAACATGTAATCACACCGACAACTCGTCGTGAATGTCCATCGTGTAGATTAAAACAATGTTTTCGAGTTGGTATGAGACCAGACCTTATACAAGTTCGCAAAAGTAAGTAAAATGAAACAGCCTTTAAACTGATTTACTTTTATTAACAAGATCAGTTCATTAGCATCAAAATTTAGACGAATAGGCCACAGTTTCAGACAATGGTTCAAATATTAGAGTTTGAATTTCTAATTGCAGTCACAATTTCGCTAGTATTTTGTTGGTTTATATTTCTGAAGATTCCATATTCATAGCCTCCTACAATGCAAGATTATCATGAGCTTACTAACAACTTACTTCAAAAGGTAATTCAACAAGTTCAAGTCTGTTGGAACTGATGAAATTTAAACATTTCACGAGACGAAAATCACCAGTATCAACAGAGGATAGTCACTTAACATAGTGAATTGATTGAAGTTTCAAATGCCAATCATTTGATGTCAACTCAGTGATCTAAACGTTATTGTCCCCAGCTGAGCTAAAGAGGTCATAAGTTCGATCTCAGGTAGGATTTCGAATGAGGAGCGTTAAGGAACTCCATACTGAGACAGAAAAATTGTCCAGTAGTCCCTGATTTTCAATCGTTCTCCAACTGAGGTCAATTTATTTAAAATGTCATCTATGGTGAATTATTAGGCAACTGTTTTTTGTGGAATCAAAAAATAGGAATATAAAAATTCAATTTTTTTGACAGTGAACAAAGAAGACTAAATATTTTGAATAGGTAGATCATACAAATTAGGTTAATAGATGAACACGGTGGATCTGATGTAGATTTGATAGTGCGTATCGGCAAAGCAGGAGAGCATATTTACAACTGAAGAACATCTGGAACTCAAAACAATTGTAAACCAACACCAAGTTCAAAATTTTCAATACAAATGTCAAAACAGTCCTACTGTCTGGGGAGGAAACTTGGAGAACTACAAAGTCAGCATCCACAAGATACAGGTGCTTATTAACAGTTGTACGCGAAATACTTCGGATCCATTGGACAGACAAAGCAGATTCCATCCAGCAGAGGAAGAAATCATGAAGAAGCGCTGGAAGTGGTTAGGACACACATTGAGGAAATCACCCAACTGCGTCACAACTCAAATCCTCACTTGGAATCCTGAAGGCAAAAGAGGAAGAGGAAGATCCAAGAACACATTACGTCGAGAAATGGAGATAGACATGAGAAGAAAGAACAAACGTTGGATAGAACTAGAGTGGGTTGGAGGATGCTCGTCATCGGCCTATGCTCCATTGGGAGTAACAGGTGTCAGTAAGTAAGTAACAGTAAATAGGCAATTTGCAGGTACAAAACTAGTAGCACGATTCTTTATTTATGTAATACAAAATGATCAAATGTAACAGTTTACTATTATTTTCATCCGACTGATCCACATTTAAACTATTAGACGTCATTACATTGTAAAGATCTGTCGCCCAATACCACCGAAACGTTACTTGGATATCTGAATGGTTAATATATATTATGATAAAAATTTGGTCCTTTTTTCACATAGTCACAAACTGAAATTGAGGGAAACATCACAGTTAACCTGAAAATTAGAATGAAGTTATTTCTTTTATCAGAGGCTGCATCTTTAAGATGTGATCATACGAAGAAATTTCAGTTTATACTCATTAATGATACTAAGCATCGTCTTAATTCTTCATTCACAGCAGATAATTAACTTCCAATTCACTAAGTGATATGAAATACTTTTGAGGATCTATGTATCTCTAATTACTTACACGTGTTACCCCTCGTCCTTGAGCATAATCTGCCCATCAGCATTCTCCATCAAACTCAGTTCTAGTGTAGATCTTTGATTTGATCATATTGATCATGAAATATGATAAACTACTTATATAACAAACAATCATGTTTCATTTTAATCACCATTTTTTTTCATTGTTTTAATTATGTTTATTTAGAAGATGGAAGTAAACCACGATGGTTAGATAAAGTTCCACGTGCAGCTATTGTTCATGAACAACACTTACAATCTTCGGAATCATTACAATGGTCAACAAATATTAATAATACTACGTTTCATAATAATAATGACAGTGATAATAGCCATGGTAATAGCACAGTTATTAATTCTAATCGCATGAAATACCGCCTAAATTCTGACAAATTTTCTAAAAATAAAGCGAAAGAACTGAAGCCTCATTTAACCGAACACCAGCCTATAGATATCAACAATAATAGTAATCATAATAGTAATAATAAAGATAACAATATAAGCTGTATGGAGAGATTAATTAATTTGAAAAGATTCAACATGAACTCAAATGATTCGGTGAAAATCCACTCAGATCCTTCATATCCTTCAATCCTTCAACCTCATCAGCAGAATCATTATCAACATCCACCTTGTATTTCACCTTGTTCCCTTCATCATCAACAGTGTCAACAATATGAAGAAAAAGTCACTTGTAATGATCGATTAAATGATTATATTATGTGTGTAACATCAAGTCCATCTTTGAATACATCAAATATTTTAAATAATATTCATTATTCAATGACATCAAATAATCTTGATAAAGACTTAATTATAAATTCAATAGCCACTGGAATAACTACTGATAATAATAATACTACTAGTAGTAGTAGTAGTAGCAGTACAAGTCCTAGAATAATAAACACCATCTCAAATAATTATTTTCCAACTGATACAGTTTTTCCTTTCAATAGTTTAATCATTCCGGATTCAAGTCAAAATAATAAATATGGCGATGTTAATTTAACTAATTGGAAGACATCATCAGAATATGGTGACAATAATGAAACTATTATAAACAATGTCAACTGTATTACGTCATCAACATTATTATCGTCATCATCGTCTCTTATCATACCATCTACAACGACGTTGACAGAAGCGACAGTAGAAATGGTGAAATTAACTTCTGATAGTACTGTTGCCACTACCAAGAGAACAATGATAGCAAACACAAGAATTAATAACAATGATGATGATAAGCAACCTTTAACAAATTTAATTTTCACAGAACATCAACATCATCATCATGAAAATGTCAACTTCAGCACTTTGAATGATATCAATCAGTTAGGTTAGTAGATTTTGGAAAAAAATGATAATAACTAGGTCTAGAAATAATAGAATATAAGATTAGTTGATTGTTTTTGGTGGTTTTTATTTTGAGATTCTTTGATGACATTTTGAGACATTCTCCTAGAGTGAGGTGAAAACTATAGACTAATTTGTCCTCACAATTGATTGGTCATTGGGTGGTGATGAATGTCATGCGTGTCAAGTCCTTCTTAGTGCTGATTGAATGCTATCGATCAAGTTGAAATGTGGCCACTAGTCTAGGTGGCTCGACACTGCGTGCACTATGTTGAGGTAAGATGGTGGTTGGAGGTAGTCAATAGGAAACCGTGTGACGGATTCGATCCCGCGTCACTCAGCTTCACAGTCAGAGACTTTACCACTGAGCTACTCGGGCCGCGATCGACCTCCTGTTGACCACCTCCAACCACTATCTTATATAGACTAATTTGTGTTCACTTAGATCCTTATCAAGCTATGCATTATGTATGTCTATATATGAAATGCTATTCTATATTAGGGCATTAAAGACCTACTGGTCACAGTGAAACAGATTACATAAACATTATGCAATCAATGCTTCATATTAGGGAGTAGGTTAGTGACCCATAAAAAATGATGCTGAGATAACATTCTTTAAGAACTATTAAAATTAAGTAATAAGAAGTTATATAGTTGAGATCATGAGTCAATTGAAGCTAGACGACCATCGAAAACCTAGAAGCACTGGACGGCCACTTCGTCCTATTGAGGGACTCCTCAGCAGTAAGCATCCACGACCCTACTGATCTCAACTATATAAATTACTAAAATCTCCACAAAACCCATTTCTGATAATAAGAAGTGTTCAAATCATTAGACAATGGAGAATGGATTTGGAAAAGAGGTGAATAAAAATAAAGGAACAAAATGCATGGAGAATAACATTAAGTAACAGCATTCGCTAAGCCTGATTCGGCCCAGGAAGTGACAAATGCAGTAAATGTAATACGAATTCAAATAATTAGGCCGTTACTTTGAACCCTTATAGCTTTTTCTGTATATAAAAGACGAGTTTGAGCCTCATTATGAAAAGTATAAGATATACAACAAATTACTTTAAATGGTTTGTTTCTATTTACTAAATGACAGGTATAAAATTTTTTAGTACAGTCAGTGTTCTTTGGAAATGTCCAGTGAAAATCTAAACAAGGGTTGCTTATTCCTCGCCTATTCTTATTCACCAATTACTATTATGAAGTACAATATCGCTTATTATAGTACATTAATTCTTCAGTTTAGATCTAGTCTTCTTTACATTTAGGGTTCTGGAATAGATATATATCTAAAACTGGAATACTCTCAAAGAATTTAGTGTTTAAAGTGTTCATAGTATTCGTCTACTCATTGAACTACTACCGTAGGTAGATTGATTTAGTGTATAATTTAATTATATAAATGTGCTTCCAGGTTTTCCATGGTGGTCTAGCTTCAATTGACTAATGATATCAACTATTGAAATTATTATAATATCCACAAAACCCCTTCTGGTATTAACCATCATATGCTTACTAGTGACTGGTTTCAAGGGGTGTTTCCTGGAGTTTTAGTGAGAAGCAGTGATTAGTGAAGTTCAACCAGATCTCTTGTGAGATAGTAACCCACTGAAGACAATGGTGAATGTGTCGCTCAATTTCGTGGATCGGTTGAAGTTAGACATTACCATCGTTGGATGCCAGCTCATTAGTCTAGCAGCTAGGCGCTCGCGCATGGGACTGATAGGTCCTGAGTTCGAATCTCATGAATTCGCGGCTGATGAGTCTCACATTAGGAGGAAACGGCCTTCCAGTGCTTCCGGGTTTTCCATGGTGATTGACTCATGATTTCAACTGTTGAAATTATATAAAAGTTTTAATTTCCATAGAATGACAACCAGATAGCCGACCAAAAATAATTAGACGAGAGCATTCGATTTCAATGTTCAAAATTAGAACAGCTATTATAATTGACAATGAGATAATCCTTGAACAGTGATTTCATGTTACAAGCTTAAAGTGACCTTAAGTTAAACTGAAGGACTTGTGTTTTTCCTAATGTTCTCAAGTTGATTTTTTGGTGTCTGGTAGATCTAGCTGGCGCGAGACTGGTAGGTCCTAGGTTCGAATCCAGAGGGACGGGATCGTGGATGTGCACTGCCACTGAGGAGTCTCACAATGGGATGAAACGGCCTTCCAGTGCTTCCATGTTTCCCATGGTGGTCTAGCTTCAATTAACTCATGATTTCAACTATGAAAAATACTGAAATCTCCACAAAACCTCTTCTGAATTATTCAATTTTAAGTCAGTTGGTGATGTAAACTATCGTTCTCTCTTTAAAAACAAAATAGTGGTACAATTCTTTATATTGTGAGCATGAAAATTGTTTAACCAGACGCTTTATGTTTTCTCGGTCTGGAGAAGGCTAGAAGAACGACGCGGTTAAACCTAAACTTGACATAAGTTCATGTACTTATTAACTATTTGACTGAATCATGTTAAAAGATCCAGTCTACCATGTATGGGTTTGTGAATATCATGACGAGTTATTGTACATCTTGAATGACATTCATTTTCGCATTATTTAATATTTTACTAAATTTTTTACTCTGAAAATAGATGACCTCATTCTACTGACTGATTCCTCTCAACTAATTGAACAACAAGAAAGTACAGATCAATTAAAACTAATTTCAAAAACTTTATCACCATTGCCTTCTTTACCAACAACAACCTCCCTAACATCATCCTCATCATCATCATCAGTATCATCATCTTTGTCATCGACAACAATATTACATAATGATCTGTCTAAAACTAATTTAATGTGCAATTTTATAAATGATGGTTCAATTGTTTCACCATGTATAACATCTAGCTTAATATTTTCAACTGATACATCAATCATACCTAATGGTTTATCGGGATCGTGTAAACATTTAAATCTTACATCTTTATGGAATTCTTCATCCATAGATGATCAATTAACAATACCAATAATCACTTCACAACAAAATGAATGTTCATTATCAATGAATCAATCATTAGAATGTATTTCAATGAATAATCATGATTTACCATTAGAAACTACGATGAACTCATTATCAAGTGAATTGTCACCACTATTACCATCTTCCGTTTCCTTATTCTCTTCTTCTTCGTCATCGTCATCATCATCATCATCGTCATCTGTTTCAATCAAATATAATGAACTACAATTAGATGTCACTTCTATTAATAATACTAATTACATCTTACCGGTTGATTTGAATAATACACTTTTCCTGAATGAAAGTAAACTGTCAGATGATTATCCAGTGATAAGTCTTCCCGATAATAATAATAATGAAACTAATCATAGTGATTCAAGTACATTATCTTGGCCAAATCTAAATCACCAAATGGAATTACAAACAAAGTATGGACAAGTAAGTTACAAAATAAAGAGCAATTAAAAAGTAATATGAAGCACTGTTTATAGAATAAATGGAGTTTTATTTGTATTGGAATCCAGGACGTAAGTTTCATTCTATCTATGACTTGTCACGTAGAGGGACGTAGATATTAGCGTTAATGTTTAGTTTAAATGGCAACACATACACTGAACTACTGAGTCCAGATAACTACTAAATTCTTTATTGGACATGATGTTTAGATCACTATTAGTAACGGATGGAATCGTTGCATTGGTAAAATTCATCACAGCATTTTCATTATTTTTTTTTACTGGAAGAGGTGTGGATTGATTCGAAACAACTTTTTTCTTACGCATTTTATGGAATATGCAGATTGTAGTTAGCAGTGAGATCTGGAACACCGGTTTCGCTCGGTGTTGAATTTATCAGCTGGCTGTAATTACATACCAGTTTTAGTGTTCACATTAAGTAATCAGGTAGAAAACACTATTTTGTGGTCATAACAACTATGATAAATTTGTAATTCAGTAATTCAGTTATTTTTAAGAATACACTCCAATATATTCTTTTGTTTTAAAAAAACCTACATACTTACGGAATCCTGGTATGAAGCTGTGACCAGCAGTGTTAAAGCCTGTCAGGTATGGATAGTTAGCCACAGAAAGCGATGGCAGGTGGTCTGATAGTATTATGAACCCGTTGGATTTAGCTATGTACACTATTGTATTTCGGGTTAATGGTCTGAAGATTGAGTCTTTGAGCTAAACAGAAAGTCCTAGTGTGGTGTGGTCTACTTATATCCATATAAGTAGTATATGGTGTGGGTCAGACATAGAATGTATTTTGGCAGAAGACCGATGAGGAAAGAACTGAAATGAAGCGCAATCGTTTGGAAAATGCATGAGCAGTGGAATTAGAGAAGAAACAGTGAAGATTGAAACATTTGGTTGTTAATTTGCAAATTGACTGTTCATTGTATGGTTTTCAGAATTTACTGAGATAGTCTGTAATTTTGCTTAAATACATTTCGATTGTCCCCAACTAGTGTTCTGTTCATTACACTAGGTTTGATCCTCTATCATGAGGTTGTGGATTCACTTTTCTACAGAGTCCCACAAAAACTACAAAACACTATATCGGTGTTTTGGCTTTGTTTCACATTTCTCAACACTTCGTAACCTCTTGTAGAGATCGAATCCAAAGGTATCAAGGTTTTGTTGTCATGGCATCACCTAAATATCTTTATTTCAATATCCTCGGTGTTATATTTATCAACTAAACATTTTGATTTACAGTTTAACAATCGTTCATAGTTAACAGCTATATCTTTCTTATTGCCAACATGGTTGGAATTTGATAATCGTAAATCGTTACGAGAAATTTAAAAATAGACTTTAGAGTCAGCTATTAAGTTGTACGCTGTTTATGATTTTCCTTTATTCGTTTGAGTAGATCAATATTTTCAGTTAGAACTGAATAACTTTCACCTTATCGGGTAATGTCCAGTCATAAAATGTTGACCTGTTTGCGATTTGAAGATATTGAATCTTTCTAACATTCCTATTCTATTACTAATGTATTTAATAGTTTTGTATGCCACTGGATATATTAGTACCCTTGCGATTGTTGGTACTCCTTACTGACGAGTGGCAATTAACACAAAATCTAGATCATTAGAAATTGGGAAGCGTTGGATAGCTATATCATTTTGATTACTAGTTCGTAAAGTTGATTATCATTAACCTTCCAACTTATTAGTAATTATAAGTATAGAAGTAACTAATTTCGAGAAGAAATTCTTATTGAATTGTAGCACATATCACTTATTTACTTACTTACGCCTGTTACCCCTCTTGGAGGAGTATAGGCCACCCACCAGCATACGTATCACTGGTTATAATATTTAATGGTCATATAAAATATGAGTACTTAATTGGATTATAAATGAATCAAATGAACCTAACTCCTTCACCCCCAAAATCTGAAGATCTTGAGTATGATCAATCTTGATGATCGTTTATATGTATTGCTGACAAGTCCTAAACTAGAATGATAAAAATGTTAATAATTACCTAGTTTTTTTTCAAAGTTGAAATAATCAGTCGATTGAAACTAGACAACCATGGAAAACCTGGAAGCACTGGACGGTCGTTTCATCCTATTATGGGACTCCTCAGCAGTGCGTATCCACGATCCCGCCTCGCGAAATTCCAAACTAGGACCTAGCAATCTCGCGAGCGAGAGCCTAACCACTATACCACTGACCTGGTATCCAACTGTTGGATCCACAAAACCCTCTTCTAATTGATTTATAACCATAACTTGTATAGGTCATTCATGAAGGTTTGATTATCAGCGGTTTACATTACCAATCATTATCTAATGTAAATTTTAAAAAAGAGAATACAAACATGAATAAAGAATAATAGAGGTGTATATTTGTATTTTGATGAAGTCATCAGCACAAACTTCGGGATGATGTTGTTCAGAATGACGATGAAAGCTCCACGACCAAACCATCCAGCTCAGAGAACAAAACTTCATCTAAATCACCCACCTGAGCTACAAATCTTCATCACCATCTCAAAATCATACGAGTGTATATGTGTATAAACGTTTCAATAATTGGGTGATAATTGATAAGCTTATCGTTCTGAATGACATCTATCAATCAGTAATACTACTCATTTCATTGTAAAATAAACTTCTATATCATCAATAGCAAATTTCAACTGTATGAATGAATAAAGTAAAAGAAAACCTGCCTATTATATTAGTATGATAATTTTTACTACTAAAAAAAAGGGGGGGGTTCTATGTTTATTTCAAGAATCAGTTAGTTTATGTATAAATATTCTTATCAATAAGGAAGGAAATCAATTTTTTGACTTTTTATTCTCTTTTCTCCCCCTCGAACTGAAGAAGTAGGTCTGTATAAATAGAAAACAGTGTGACCGATTCACATTCTATAATATGCTTTAGATTTTTTTAGATAGGAAAGTATCATTGTGTATAGTACCGTTATCATTTTTAGTAATATACTGTGAATTGTTAAGTGATTCAAAGAAATCGATAGGAAAACCCTTTTCTAACCAAAGTTTTATATTACATATGGCTTATCAGCAAGATATATCTACAATTTTGAAGTAGTTGTTGATTCATTCGAGATTGGAATCTTTGTTCAGGGCTGTTACAGAAATGTTACCATTGAGTTGATCATTTACTTACTTACTTACGTCTGTTACCCCTCGTCGAGGAGCATAAACCACCCACTAGCATTCTCCATGCAATTTTGTCCTGGGTAATCCTTTCCAGTTCCTTTCAGTTTTTATTCATCCTTTTCATATTTGCCTCTTATTTCCGGCGTAATGTTGTCTTTAGACTTCCTCTTTTCCGCTTCCCTCCAGGATTCCAAGTTAAGGGAATGCCTTGTGATGCACATTGAGAGACTACCCTCAACTTGATGGTCTCCTTATAGTGCACCCTGTTTACACTGCACCTGAAAAACTTGCTGCTTTGGTGCAGTTTAGTCAATTTTTATAAAAGGGGGGATATATATAGCGCGTATAAAAAGCTTTTAGTTTCAAGCCGCGCCGAGTTGATCACAGCACTTTTGAAAGTTGTCTCGTCATGTACTGATGGCTAATAAAACAATATCAATACAGTTTGTTAATTTATTGTAAAGAAGATATTCTTTATGCATATTCTACTACATCCTACTCTGGCATACAACATTGGCTAGTATCCGGTTAGGTTGAAAAAATCTAGACCAAACATGGATGAGTTATTAGTCCTTTAAAATCAATAACTCTATATGTGAATGGTGTCTTCCTCCCATAATTTTACATTTGTAATCTAAATCAATCTTCAGAAGTAAGCTTCAAAACGTGTTTATTATAAACTGCAGCTTTTACTATTACTGTTATTATTTTCACTGTCTCGTTTGTTAGCTTCAATCATCATTACCCCATTTTTTCTTTGAATTGACACAATGTTTGGGAAGTATAGTCTCAATACTTGCACCGGATCCTACAACATATAACTTAATCGGCTTAAATTCACTTAGTATTACCTGTTTGATTCTTCCCATTGATGTTTTAGTACTGAAACTGGTCAGTCTCTAATTGGCATATGTGCATACTGTGCGTATTGCCTCCATATAGCCTTAATTCCACTGCTAGCCACTACCCATCTTTACTTAATCTCCTTAGTAAACTTAATATCATTATGTTTTTTAACAGCTTTGATCAGTATCATACTAAACGGTTACTAATCAACTGAAAGCTCATCATCGAAGTGAATGTAAAAACTCCAACCTATTTTCTCATTTTTTTCTAGATTTTCACTGATCTAAACCATAACGATAATGAAATTGATGTGATGTCAGGCATTTTACAAAATAAAAGTAAGTTATGTTATTCTAAATTAGTATAAAGTGATTTGTACAGGTTCAAATTAATCTCAGATCAGATCGCTTAGTGAAACTAAGATCATGTATCAACTAATACTACTCAAATCAACGCCTGACTACTATCACACATAAATATAATCAATCAATAACCATGACACTACAGGTGATTATGAATAATATAATTTTTTTATGGTTAGCGAGTTGGTTTTCTGCGGGATGGAGTCGCTAACTCCATGCCCAACCCTCCTCCTTTACCCGGGTTTGGGACCAGCAGTAGCTCCCGGAGGAGTTACAGATGGGGTTACGAATAATATACCAAACAAAAATTAGATATATAGGCGAAAAATTGAATGTTCTTAATGTTCTTATCTCGCACTTCCGAATAGCGTAAATTCTCGATGTAAAGATTTATCAAGTTCAATTAGTATCTAATAGCTAACTGATCAGATGATGAACAGAGTTGTTTTTATTAGATCCAAAAAGTAATAATACTTCTCTAAAAAGCAAGTTTCTGGTGCAAATATTGACCGTCTCATTTCAGTTTAACCAGTAGGTAAGTGATGAGTATTGTAATGTAAATTTTATCAAATACAAGAGAATGATGTTATCCACAACAATCTGTAGTGAACATGTCCAATGGAGTATCTCGAGACGTGTTAAATTTTGGTGGCGTGGTATCTAACTTCAATTGGATCGTATGAGTGTTGATGAAATATGTATTTCGTCAATCATTGACTTAACTCGCGTGAGTGTATAACAGAATTAAATAAGTCAAATACAAGAATGAATTGCGAGTATGTGTAGTTCGTACAATCTTTGATGCAGAAAAACGATCGAAGAAATAAAGCGAAGTGAAGAGAGCGAAGCGAAATGAAGCGCAGTGGAGGTGTGTAAAAGACAACTCAATTTAATTAACCGCTAATCGATATTGAAAGTCGAACAAAAATAAGTTAAAGACATGTAATGAATGGGATAAAAATTGTCTACACACACGCTCATATAAAAACAGTCAAGGTTGATAGGTGAATAATTACCAATGTTAAATGTGACTCAAGAAGAATGAATAGATTGGCTTGTGTGGGCTTAACCTAGCAACCAACACTACAAAACTAATATTTATTAGTACTTTAAATGTTAAGGCTTGAAATGGAGTTTTTAACAGACGTTACACCCTAATTAGTAGAACACAGTCTTAGACGAAAAATGATAAATTTTGTAAGCGTTGCAATTCTAACGGATGATCAAAGCCTATGACATTATTTCGGGATAAAGTAAAACAGAATGTCAAGGTACCAGAATATTTTGTTTATTCCTTCTTACTACTCATTAGTAAGCAAAGTTTTTAACAATAAATTGACACTTAAAGAAAATTCAGAGAAAATTTTCTTTTGGACTAAATCATTTACTTAAGCTGTTCATTCGCATTTATAGTTACACAGTATAGCTTAAGTATATGATTTCCCCGAAAACAAAAATTTAAACGTCGAATTCTCTTTATTTGTACTCGATGACACATACTTACTTACTTAAGCCTGTTACCCACACATAGGCTGATTCAATTAATCAATGCGTTATTATAAATTTACGTTTACATGTGCATCACATTTAAAACTAGGTACAATTTTTTATTACTTTACAAATTTCTGTCTGTAATTCAAGCTGGAAGAAAGGGCATCCGCCTCGTGACTTCCACAAAATCTCTGCTTTCAATATGAAATGTCATAATTCTTCTTTCAACTCCCAGGGCAGAGTTTAAATGGTTTGAATTTTTTTTTTTGGTTAGCGTTTTTTTAGCGAGTTAGTTTTCTACGGGATGGTGTCGCTAACCCCATGCTCAACCCTTCTCCTTCATCTGAGCTTGGGACCGACAGCGACCCGCGGATTGGCTACAAGCTGAGTTGATTCAAGTTAGAAGGACAAATGATAATGATATTAATTTTTTAAGAAATTCACTTTTTACAGTTCACTATCAAAACTAATCTCTAATCAAAATTTCTTATCTAATATTTATATTAGGTCAATTATATAATAATAATCCCATAACAATCCCAATCAATTTGAATAAAATCAATAAAGCATGGTCAAATATGTGGCAAACAGGATTCATTCCAAATCCTGAACAAATTGATTTAAATTTAGATATCACCCAACGTCCTGCATTAAAATGGTGTCTTACATTAGCTAATATATGGAGTGATTTATTATTACGTCGTATATCAGTATTTGCAATGTCATTATTAGGTGATCTTATACAAGATGACTATAAAACTGGATATTTATTTAATTGTCATAGCAACAATAATAATCATCAAAATAAGGATGCTAATCAAAAGATTAATGAATCAAATGGATACATGTCAACAAATGAATATTTTAATGAATTGAATCAAGTTCATGGCATATTTCAAAATGATCCAATGAAGGATGAAGAAAGTCATATAGATCATGCATTGAATGATACCAATGATCCATATTTAACATGGGATGATATGTTATGGATAGCAAAAGTAAGTTATTCATTGAATGAAAATAAGATACCTATCTAAGATACTTCATCTTATGATGATATATTAACTTGAATTGATTTAATTAAGAAATTAAAGAGGAATGGATTATTCGATGATCTTTTCGAACCTCTTCAGACGATTACTGATGAGCTTGACTTTTTTGCCTTTATATTCATGATCATGATCATCATGATCAGCTGAAAATTGAAGAAATACTACAACCATCATCAAAAATATACAGGTATTCATAGACAATTACATACGCAAGATACTCCAGTTCTATTGTCCAGACACTATCAGCAAAAACCTAATGTGGGAACGATTAAACTAACTTCCAGCAGAAAAATTGCATAGGACATACATTATGGACACTACCAAGTGGCATCGTGTGACAAACCTTAATCTGGAATTGTTGAAGGAAAAGGCGAAGAGACAGGCTAAATAGTACATTGCACCGGAAATTGAAATCAGACAAACAAATAATCGATAGTAATTAGGAAGAACTGGAAAAAGTAGTAGGGGTCATAGTAGGTTGGACGATCTTAATCTATGATTCACAATGAGTAATAGACTTAAGTAAGTAAATAAAGTGGAATAAGTTTGACAGGAAGGGTATACAACTATACTAGCTTCAAAATATTTAATCAAGTGTTTAGTATTTTACATAAATAAATAAGATGCTTGCTTATAGATTGAATAGTGTTCGTTCATGAACGACTATGTTCCACATTAACAGGTTAACAACTAAGCACACATTACTTACTTACTTAATTACTTACTTACTTAATTACGCCTGTTACTCCCAATGGAGCATAGACCGCCGACCAGCATTCTCCAACCCACTCTGTCCTGGGACTTCTTTTCTAGTTCTTTCCAGTTCTTCTTCATTCTTCTCATGTCTGTCTCTATTTCTCGGCGTAATGTGTTCTTTGGTCTTCCTCTTCTCCTTCGACCTTCAGGATTCCATGTGAGGGGTTGTCTTGCGACGTAATTGGATGATTTCCTCAAAGTGTGCCCAATCCACTTCCAGCGCTTCTTCCTGATTTCTTCCTCTGCTGGAATCTGGTTTGTTCTCTCTCACAGTAACTTGTTGCTGATAGTGTCTGGCCAATGGATCCGAGATATCTTGCGTAGACAACTGTTAATAAACACTTGTATCTTCTGGATAGTGGCTTTCGTAGTTCTCCACGTCTCCGCCCCATACAGTAGAACTGTCTTCACATTTGTATTGAAAATTCTAATTTTGGTGTTGGTTGACAATTGTTTTGAGCTCCAGATGTCCTCCGTGGACGATTTGGCAGTTTAGTCCATCATAGGAGTTCCGTATGATATTGACTAATTTCTCAGGTACGCCTTAGTGTCGAAGAAGCCTCCATAGTGTCGTCTCGTAGTCGATGAAGTTGATGTAGAGTGATGAATTCCATTCGATTGATTGTTCCACAATGATACGTAGAGTTGCGATTTGATCTGTGCACGATCTATCATTACGAAATCCAGCTTGTTGATCTCGAAGTTGGGCGTCCACGGAAACCTTCATCCTGTTTAACAATACTCGGTTGAAGACTTTTCCTGGTATTGAGAGGAGAGTGATGCCCCTGTAGTTGTCGCACTTGCTCAGATCGCCTTTCTTTGGTATTTTGATCAGAAGTTCTTTTTCCCAGTCTGTTGGTACATGTTCTTCGTCCCAAATCTTACCGAAGAGGATGTGGAGTATCTTGGCAGTTGCCGCTACATTTGCTTTCAGTGCCTCTGCCGGGATGTTGTCTGGTTCCGCTGCTTTGCCGCTCTTGATTTGTCTAATGGCCATGCTGATCTCTTCAATTGTTGGTGGGCCAACATCGATTAGGAGGTCTGTGGGTAGGTTCAGTGGAGCTGGTCGATTCAAGAGTTCTTTGAAGTGTTCTACCCACCTGTTTCGTTGTTCTTCAATGTCGGTTATTACTTTGCCTTACTTGCATTTCACTGGTCTTTCTGGCTTACGGTAATTTCCAGCAAATTTCTTTGTTGTATCATACAGTTGTCTCATGTTTCCCTCTCTTGCAGCCTTTTCCGCTGTCATCGCTAAATCTTCCACATATTTACGTTTGTCGGTCCTGATGCTCCTATTCACTTGCTTGTTTGCCTCTGTGTATTCGGCTTGTGCCTTGGTTTTTTTCGCTCTTGTTCGGCTGGTATTGATTGCTACCTTCTTGTTCCTCCTTTCTTCAATTTTATCCAGTGCACCGACAGTGATCCATTCCTTGTGATGGTGCTTCTTTTGGCCCAGAACCTCCTGACATGTTGAAACGATTGCCTCCTTGATACCTTTCCAGTTGCTCTCTATGGTAGTCCCCTCTCCATTGAGTAGATCATGAAAGGCCTGGAACCTGTTGCTGAGGGCTATGTTGAATTTGTTGAGTTTGTCAGCATCTCGAAGAAAGGCCGTGTTAAACTTTTGTGATGTTGTCCGCGCAGTTGTCCACTGCTTCTTGAGTTTTAGTTTCATCTTACTTACTTACTTACTTACTTTCGCCTGTTACTCCCAATGGAGCATAGGCCGCCGACCAGCTTTCTCCAACCCACTCTGTCCTGGGACTTCTTTTCTAGTTCTTTCCAGTTCTTCTTCATTCTTCTCATGTCTGTCTCTATTTCTCGGCGTAATGTGTTCTTTGGTCTTCCTCTTCTCCTTCGACCTTCAGGATTCCATGTGAGGGCTTGTCTTGTGACACAATTGGGTGATTTCCTCAAAGTGTGCCCAATCCACTTCCAGCGCTTCTTCCTGATTTCTTCCTCCGCTGGAATCTGGTTTGTTGTCTCCCACAGTAACTTGTTGCTGATAGTGTCTGGCCATCGGATCCGAAGTATCTTGCGTAGACAGCTGTTAATAAACACTTGTATCTTCTGGATAATGGCTTTCGTAGTTCTCCACGTCTCTGCCCCATACAGAAGAACTGTCTTGACATTTGTATTGAAAATTCTAACCTTGGTGTTGGTTGACAATTGTTTTGAGCTCCAGATGTTTTTCAGCTGTAGGTATGCTGCTCTTGCTTTGCCGATCCTCGCCCTCACATCTGCATCTGATCCACCGTGTTCATCAATGATGCTGCCCAGATATGTAAAGATTTCCACATCCTCCAAAGCTTCTCCGTCAAGTGTAATTGGATTGGTGCATATTGTATTGTATCGGAGAGTCTTGCTTTTCCCTTTGTTTATATTGAGACCTAATGCTGCTGAGGCTGCTGCTACACTGGTCGTTTTCTCCTGCATTTGTTGTTGCGTTTGTGATAGAAGAGCCAGATCATCCGCGAAGTCTAAATCGTCAAGCTGCATCCTGCCTGTCCACTGTATCCCGTGCATTCCTCCAGATGTTGACGTCTTCATAATCCAGTCGATCACCAGGAGAAAGAGAAAGGGTGAGAGTAGGCAACCTTGCCTAACACCGGTCTTTACCTCGAACGAGTCGGTGAGTTGTCCTCCGTGGACGATTTGGCAGTTTAGTCCATCATAGGAGTTCCGTATGATATTGACTATCTTCTCAGGCACGCCGTAGTGTCGAAGAAGCTAACATAGTATCGTCCTGTCCACGCTATCAAATGCCTTCTCGTAGTCGATGAAGTTGATGTAGAGTGATGAATTCCATTCGATTGATTGTTCCACAATGATACGTAGAGTTGCGATTTGATCTGTGCACGATCTATCATTACGAAATCCAGCTTGTTGATCTCGAAGTTGGGCGTCCACGGAATCCTTCATCCTGTTTAACAATACTCTGTTGAAGACTTTTCCTGGTATTGAGAGGAGAGTGATGCCTCTGTAGTTGTCGCACTTGCTCAGATCGCCTTTCATTGGTATCTTGATCAGAAGTCCTTCTTTCCAGTCTGTTGGTACATGTTCTTCGTCCCAAATCTTACCGAAGAGGATGTGTAGTATCTTGGCAGTTGCCGCTACATTTGCTTTCAGTGCCTCTGCCGGGATGTTGTCTGGTCCCGCTGCTTTGCCACTCTTGATTTGTCTAATGGCCATGCTGATCTCTTCAATTGTTGGTGGGCCAATATCGATTGGGAGGTCTGTGGGTGCTGCTTCGATGTTGGGTGGGTTCAGTGAAGCTGGTCGATTCAAGAGTTCTTTGAAGTGTTCTACCCACCTGTTTCGTTGTTCTTCAGTGTCGGTGATTACTTTGCCTTCCTTGCTTTTCACTGGTCTTTCTGGCTTACGGTAATTTCCAGCAAGTTTCTTCGTTGTATCATACAGTTGTCTCATGTTTCCATCTCTTGCAGCCTTTTCCGCTGTCATCGCTAAATCTTCCACATATTTACGTTTGTCAGTCCTGATGCTCCTCTTCACTTGCTTGTTTGCCTCTGTGTATTCGGCTTGTGCCTTGGCTTTTTCTGCTCTTGTTCGGCTGATATTGATTGCTACCTTCTTGTTCCTCCTTTCTTCAATTTTATCCAGTGCACCGACAGTGATCCATTCCTTGTGATGGTGCTTCTTTTGGCCCAGAACCTCCTGACATGTTGAAACGATTGCCTCCTTGATACCTTTCCAGCTGCTCTCTATGGTCGTTCCCTCTTCATTGAGTAGGTTATGAAAGGCCTGGAACCTGTTGCTGAGGGCTATGTTAAATTCGTTGAGTTTGTCAGCATCTCGAAGAAAGGCCGTGTTAAACTTTTGTGATGTTGTCCGCGCCATTGTCCACTGCTTCTTGAGTTTTAGTTTCATCTTGGCGACCAGCAAATGGTGATCGGATGCTACATCAGCTCCTCTCCTGGTTCTCACATCCTCCATCGTCCTCCTGAACTTTTTGTTGATGCAGACATGGTCGATTTGATTCTGTGTAGTGTGATCCGGTGAAATGCAAGTGGCTTTGTGTGGGAATATGGTGCCACCTATGACCAGTTTATTGAAGGCACATAGGTTTGCAAATCTCTCACCGTTTTCGTTCCTTCCTCCCAGTCCATGTTGTCCCATGATGTCTTCGTATCCAGTGTTGTCCTTGCCAACCTTGGCATTGAAATCTCCCATTAGAATGGTCAGGTCCTTGGTTGAGCACTTCTCAAAGATTGACTGCAGCCTATCGTAGAATTGGTTTTTAGCGTCTTCATCGTAGTCGTTGGTCGGCGCATAGCATTGGATGATGTTCATTGTAATGCCCTCTCTCTTTGTTCTGAAGGAGGCTTTGATGATCCTCGGTCCATGAGATTCCCATCCTATAAGTGCATTTTGTGCTTTTCTAGACAGCATCAGTGCCACTCCTTGTGTATGTGGGGCATTTTCTTCTTCATGACCGGAGTATAACAGAAGTTCCCCTGAAGACAGTCGTTGTTGTCCAACCTGCGTCCAATGTGTTTCACTGATTCCAAGCACTTCCAGGTTGTATTTCCTCATTTCCGCAGAAATTTGGAAGACTCTGCCGGTCTCCCACATTGTCCGGACATTCCATGTACCTATAAAAATTGTCGCTCTGGTTGTAAGAAGGTGCATCGGCCTCATGACTTCCGAAGGAACTCGGCTTTCATCATGAGACGTCATTTTTCCTTCTACTCCCAGGGCAGAGTTTGAATGGTTTGAATGAATTTTTCTGGTTAGCGTTTTTTTAGCGAGTTGATTTTCTACGGGATGGGGTCGCTAACCCCATGCCTAACCCTCCTCCTTTACCCGGGCTTGGGACCGGCAGTAACCCCCAGAGGAGCTACAGGAGGAGTTTAAGCACACATTATGATGTATTAAAACAAACAAAGGCAAATAATGTAATAAGAAGACAAATATTATCAGAACTATGTGATGAGATATTAGCGCAATATATTCCGAATCAGTCTGATCACACATAATATACTTGTTAAAAACATTTATATATAAAAATAAAAGGTCAACTAGAATGGGAATGGAGGGGTAAAAGGAGACAAAGATAATAATGATAATAATGTGAAAACAATTTTAAACCTAATCACTCTGGATAATCAGCTAATATTAGGCTAGGTTTGAGGTTGGGTTGGAGAATGCTGGTCAGCGGCCTATGGTCCATTGGAAATAACAGGCGTAAGTAAGTAAAGTAAGTAATTGAGGTTTAAGGTGAGAACAAACCGTTGTTCAATACACAAAGGGGGGTTCGAATTTTGTTCTTCTTATTACACTATCGATATTTATCAAAGGGACTAATTGCTTTAAATATGATTTTTTGAATCTTTTCTATTTTCTTTCAGAATCGTTTTACAGATTGTGTACCGGTTTTATTAATTAGTTGTTCTTCATTTGTTAATAAGACTATGACACCATCATCACCATCACCATCACTATCATCATTGTCAACAAGTTTAAATCAAGAAACCATGTCAGATTTCAAAAATTCAAATGGTAACCATAAATCCACTGATGATTTAGATAAACTATCATTTCAGTATTCAATCAATCATCATCATCATCGTAATATTAAAGATGGGAATCAATATTCAATCAATCAATATTCATCATTATCATCATCATCATCATCATCATCGTCAATCATAACCACAACAACAACTAAAAAATGTTGTACAAAATTAATCTCCTTCCAAACAGAACCTAATTGTGTACATGTTATAGATTTGAAAAAATTAAGTAATGCATTAGGTGATTTAGGTAAGGAATATTCACTCATCAATACTACTACTACTACTAATACTACTAATACTACTAATAACAATAATAGTAGTAATGATCATAATAATCAATCTACTTATCCAATATTACAATATCTTGATGCTTATATATCTCAATTAGGTAATTTTTTAGCTTATCATCCAATATTATTAAGTGCATATATGGCATTAAAATTAACAGATCCAATAATGGTGAGAAATGAAGAAATCTACAATCAATCATTAGATGATCATCATCAACATCATCATCAATATGAATGGAGTCCATCTATCATTCATAGAAATCAACGTTTACAACGTTTACATAAATATTTTTTAAATATTTTTAATGAAGCCATTGATTATGTTGCCATAGAAAAAACACAATTAAAAATCAATAATCAATCAATCAATAATCATAATAATAATAATAATAATAATAATAATCTATACATATCACAAGAGCAAATTGTTGCTAATTCACGACGTACTATGTTAACAGAATTTTTAGAATGGAGTCGTGAATTTGATCAAACATGGTCATATTTTCAACAAGATATATGGAATGAATCCATGAAATATCATTTAGAATATAAAATATCAAAAGGATTAAATATATTATGTAATAAACAATTAAAATATAATGATAATTTAGAAAATGATTTATTAAATATATTATGGGATGCTAAAAATGAATGTTTGTCGTCGATGACATCGTCATCGGCGGCGGACTATACTCCATTGGAGATAACCGATGTATGTAAGTAAGTATAGATGAACAATCTTTTACTATGTTGTACCATACTGATGAGGATGATGACGACAAAATTTCATATGATCAAAATGTCTTCCAAATCTGATTTATTTTCATTTATGAAAGAGAGTTCCTTGAATTAATCTTTTTCAATATAAAGCAATATTCTGCTGAATATGATTCGTATTTGTGAAGTTCGTAAATGGAGAGAACTACACACACACACACATACAGAGAGAAAAAGAAAGATGAAGGCTTATGAGGGAATCATTTACATTATTGTACAGATAAACACCCTTAATCATATATATATGCTTGTATAATTTATAATAGAACATTTAAACTGAACATGATTCAAATGAAGTTTTTCTATTATTTTTTCTTCTCTTTACATTCATATGCATGATCCATAAATAGAGTAAAGACCTGAGGTAGTACAATGAATACGTTACAATTTATAAGCTCAGTATTTTCAGTACACAAAATAGATAAGGCATATGGATAGTGTTTCTTGTTCACCCACCTTTGTATCGTTTCTATGTGTACTCCTATGTTCACACACCAACATAAACACACATAGTAATTAAACTCTTTTACATCAATAATGATTGTTCTAGTAATTGCTCAATGGAAAACAATGTAATAGTTCGTTGATACATTTGTCTATGAATAGGTAATCACCTTTTTTCTTCTTTTCTTGAACAGTGTACATTTTGCTTCCTTTACACTAATATCTACATGTCTGTTTTGCATTTTGTTTGAATGAAAAAAAAATTTTCTTTTTGTACAAATTTCAATCTATTCATAGAATAAAACAGAGAATAGATTGCTCTATAAAACATGAAAAGTTGTCACATTGTCCACTGAACATTTAAATCTATCAAAGTGCCTTCAATAGTTGAAATACTTGAACTATCGTATGTGTATTTATTTATTTCTTCTTCTTGTATTTTTGTTCTTCACTTTGACTTTTTTGACCATCACAATTTCTTATTTCTATCATGTTAGATGTGTATTCGTAGAAGAGGTAGTGACATTTTGTTAATGGTCACAACCATGTTAAACGTCTCTATCTATTCAAACTTGATGTAAATGCTATAAAAAAAAACGGTATTCAGTTCATTTCGAATTAGGTTAACTGTAGTTGTATGAATAGGTTTGTTTAACTTGCGGTTTTTCCGGGGAACTAATGATCATATTATGTTTTCTTTTGTTTGATACCCATTAAGTGCCTTTCGACATTTAGGTATATATAAATATAATCATTTGGTTATTTCAAAATTTTGCATTTGGTTACCATGGTTATTTTGTTTTTAAATCAACCGTCTCTATTTAAGCACTATCGCGATAATCTTTATTATCTACTAATATTATTATTAGCAGTAGTAGTATTTAAGGTAATAAATATTGTATTGACTTTTTATTGAGTTCAATCAGTACAGTATTAGTTCATTTTTGAAACTATGTCAACAAAACAAAATCCTAGGTAGCTTTCTTTCCTTTCTTTTCCTTCTTAAGGAATAATCCTCATTGTACACAGTTTTTGTTGCCTTATAGATATATATTAAAGACTTCTTTATAATGATGCCTTTACAATTGAATTCATTATTATGATTATTATTATATGTCTTCCTTGTACTTCTACTTTATTATTGTGAAATTGAATAAGTTAAATGATCCAATTTTTTTCCTCTTTTTTTTCATTCTGGTTTATAGTTTATTTATTGGTTAAACAATTCAAATGAGCGACGTTTCATTTTAAAGTCGCGCCATGTTAATTTTTCAACGAAAAAAAAAAGAGAAAAACAAACAAACAAATTAATTTGTATAAATCAATGGAAAGAAAAAAAAAACTAGAATTTCGATCAATAAAAAAAAACGTTTGTAATAAATTTAGATATTTCTTTTTTTATTGAATGGTTAGTTACTATAGTAACAAGTAAGCTAGATAACTTGCATATTAGCTAACAAGAGAGATTGTTTAGTTACTTACTTACTTACGCCTGTTACTCTCAATGGACCGACAAACTACTAGCTATCGTGCAGTAAATAGAACACGAGTAGGGACAATCTCACTAAAATCTGACAACTATACCGTAAACAGTTAATTTGCTAACTATTAAAAAAATTGTCTCAATATTGACTATCGCTTATGCAACTACCAGTCCATAGTTTCCGATTATTATTGTTCATACATTTTCATACCAAATGCGTTTCGTTTCCGTTTTTTCCTTATAGATCTTCTAGTGAAATACATTCTTAGTCTGACCATCGTTATGTACTACTTATGTGGATATTAGTAATCCACACCACATTTGTTACATTGATCTAACTTCCTCTTCAATCAACTGTTTCTTACTTACTTACTTACGCCTGTTAATCCCAATGGAGCATAGGCCACCGACCAGCATTCTCGAATCGACTCTATCCTGGGCCTTCCTTTGTAGTTATATCCAATTTTTGTTCCTTCTTCTGATATCTGTCTCCATTTCTCGGTGTGATGTGTTCTTTGGTCTTTCTCTTTTCCTTTTTGGCCTTCAGGATTTCATGTGATGGCTTGTCTTGTGACACAGTTGGGTGAAAGATAGACTGATAGATATGTGGACTTACAGGTAGATAGATACATTTCTGGATAGATAAATAGTAATGACTGTCTAATACCGGTGGAAGTTTCGCTGAGACTACCACTAATTGTAACTTTAGGTAACACAGGGTTATTAGTAAATTAAGATCAAGTGAAGTTTACTAAACAATCACTATTGACGTATTTGACTATTTCAAAGATTTGTTTAAGAGCTTCGTTTTAATTTACTACTTCTAAACAGACTTCATATGTAACATCTAACCAATAATGAATATAGAATTTGATTAATGAGTTGAAACCTTATAGCCCTCAAGTTTTTTGGTATATTTATGATATACTATTCAATAAGATCGGTTAACATAGAGTTCATCTTGGTAATTGTTAAGTTTATAAGTTGTAACTTTGAAGAAAAGCTTCCATTTTTCATCACAAACCAAACATACATTACTTGACCTAGTTTTGTAGTGAATGACAACCCAAGTGGGGAAAATCGAATGTATTTAAGCACAAACCTCAATAAATTCTGATAACCATACAGTAACCATACATTAAATAACAATCAATTGTCGTAATTTTAACTGTTCCTTCTACAAATATCAGTTCGTCTTCTCTGATTACTATTGTTCATGCATTTTCATATCGATTGTGCTTTGTTCTTGTTATTTCCTTATCAAACTTCTGCCAAAATACATTCTATTCCCGACCATCATTATATACTACTTATGTGGATATAAGTAACTCACTTGTTAAAACTTGATTATCTTTCTACGATAAGGGTAACCCATGGAAACATTGAAAACAAAACAAGTATTTCGGTGAAGGCTAATTTAATTTTCATGATTTTATTTTCAAAAAGGTAAGCAATCATATTTAAATGAGATAATATGATTAACTGGTTTCAAATGGTAGTATCTGTTGAGATAGTCCTGCAAATCCATCCATACATGGATAGAAATCATGGAGTTTAGTTAGCAAAAATTGGTAAAACAAATGGATGACAAATGGATAGATCATCAAACTGGCTAAAACTTTCATAGAGCTGGTTTTGAAAAAAAAGATATGTTTGCTCACTACAGTTTGATGACGATTAACTGAAGCATAAAACTGAGAATTGAGGTTCATTTGCTTTGGTCACAAAGGCGAATAAAGATTAACTACTGACTCTTCTAGAATAACGAAATGACATTCAAATGGTTTAATTTCCGTTGGTTTCATGAAACTTTAAAAGATGAAAACAGATTAGTTATCAATCACTTTCATTACATTCATTAAATCCTTTTTGTTTACTGTATCATGGAAGAAGACAAATTCTTTCTCGGAGACACAATCTCTTGGAAATTTGCTCAATAGAAAGTCCAGATATCCGTCTGTTAACTTGTTTAATGTACATGCTTTTCTACTTACATGTATACTCATATAGGCAGTTGAAAGTGACATGTGATGGGTGTTTTCATATCTACATTTGCATTCTTGAGCATTCCAGTTTGTACAGTGAAACGTTTTACAAGTTGATCCTCTTTAAACGTCTGTCGGTTCAAATCAAATTTCTATTCATGTTTGTAGATTTCTCTTTCTTACCACGGTATTCAGTACTATATTTTTATAAGCTTTTGAGTTTACCCATTGTCTTAAACACAATTAGCTATTTCTGGACACTTTGCTATGAGCCATTCAGGCGAGAGACTCCAAGAAACGTGAGAGACTTAATAAAGATTTATCAAAGAAACGTGCTAACCACTTTAACTATTCTGTATAGTGACATTTCTGTTTGTTATTAGTAGCGATTATATCACTGTCTCTGAATGTAATTTGATTTGATATTTGGTATTTTCTGTAAAAACAGAACTATAAAGTTTACAAATGTATCAGTGTTAGTAAGATAAACAACAACATTGATAGCATTCCATCGGCACTATGAAGGACTTGACACGCATATCTCTGACTGTGAAGTTGAGTGACACGAGATCGAATTCGTCAGGGAGCACCAGTTCCCTCAAGATTACAGGTACACCTTGCTAACGAGTGCCAAGTAGCATGAAACCCGGTCCAAAGGTTTCTGTTGACCACCTCCAACCACCATATGTTTAGGAATAAGGATAAAACTTGATAAAAACAACGGTTATTAAGTACTTCAAGTACTAACTTATAATATCAGTCCATCATTTGACCTGAAGCTTTCGAAAATTGGATTTATTCTAGAATTATTCAATCTAATACTATTATATACACGTTATCATGCTATTGTGAATGATATGTGTATAATTAAAAGGAACAACCTGATCAATTGTTAGTCTAAATGAAAACGATTTAAAACATCATTTATTTCAAATTAAGATTAACTAGATCCACTTGGTGTTGTTTACATGTATCTTCTCATTGCTATTCAGAACTGCAATTGATCAGACTCTTGTTGGCATATGTCCAAGAATGAACATCAACTCTGAGATGCAAGTAAATCCAGCTGACGAGTCCCAAATAGGACCAAACTCGCGTCATGGATTCTACTGCTAGGTACTATCTATCTTTGCTTATAAAGCTTGTGACTTTAGGCAATATCGAGACAGTTCACACGGGATGCACATATGGCAACAAGAGACTGATCAATTGGAATTCTAAATGACGATGGGAAGTTACAGTTAAACAACACCAAATGTATTTAAACTTCACCCCATTGCACAAGCAGGTGACTATCAAGACTCAGTAGGTAACTGGATAACGCGATAGCGTTTAAAGAGAAAGGTACTGGGTCCCAGAGTGAACATCAAATCTGAGATGCTGGTATATCCAGCTGATTAGGACCGAATAGGAAGAAACGCGCGTCCTGGATTCCACTGCTAGCCACCATCCATCTTTGATGGATGAAACTGCTCATAATGATAAGATGCACACTTGTCTTACTTATCTCAAAGGGGATTAGGAAATTGATCTTTTATGGATAAATCTTTTATGAAAATGTTAACTAATTTTGCTTTCTCTTGGCGAACTGAGCCTTATAGGAACTTTGGAAACCTTATTGAAATTATGCACATGATAGTAAATTCTAAAATTTTGTCAATTTTAACACTATGTCCCTTACGTCGTCACCATGAACAATGTTTTTGAAGATAAAACTGTGTGTAGAACATGAAACGATGTCCCAATTTCGTTTATTAGGTTTCGTCTAAAGTAGTTTTGCTCGGCTGTTCAGATCGACAATACTTCATAAGGATGTAGTAAGCGGGGGTCATGTCAAGTCCACATAACTTATTCTAGCTTTCGAATAGACCAGTTGATTCGTTCTTCTTGAGTCACATTTTGATCTTGTTCATTCTTCGCTTATCAACTTTGACTGTGAATGTATGTGCTAGAATTTCTTATCTTACTCATCACATGTATGTAACTTTTTTTTTCTAACTATAAATAGTGGATAACGCTTGGATAAATCGATTTGGCTTACATACCTTCCTCAATCCATTTCTCATCGCCTTCTTAGCTCCATCTTTCTGATTGATTATCTATTCTAATTAACGATTGTACAAAACTTCATTCTCATATTTTACTGATTTCTATTCCATTATTCACTAACGCAAGTTAAGTCAATCATTATATACGAACATTTGCGATATGCCCTTTTTTCAATAATCATCAACATACGATCAAATTGAAGTCAAATAATCGGTCACAAAAAAGGATAATCAGTGTCAAAATATCAAAGGGTTACTTCAAAGACACCATAGTATAAGAAAAATACACAATAATGAGAATATGTATATTCATTAAGGATACTTTAATCATAACAATTTCCAAAATTATTGATTTACAATAGTCACATACACCAAAGAACTATCACATGGATTATAACATCATAAGCTTCTTGAATATACATTTATTTCTGTTTAATCCTCCCTTCTTGAATGATCCATATTCATTCATTGAACTTAAGTGTATACATTTCCATAGAATAATTAACTGTTGAAAGGTCCAACATTATGAATATATAAATACAACAGAATATGACAGTAATAGTAAAATGAGACTGTACAATACCATTGAGGAAGTTTCTAAAGAAATAGCCATATTCACACTAGTAATAATAATGGTAATAATGAACATTAAAAGTTCTATTATGGAAGAACAGTTCTTTGAGGATGTTCACAATGTCTTTGACATTACCAACAAAGGAAATATTTGTAGATATGTAAACATAGAAATGTAAGCTTATCCATACATGAACACATTTGCATCCATCTATAGATATAGTTATAGATATCAATAAAACATCCATAAATGAACAATAACACACAGTCAATATGATTCTACTATTCGAGGTAGATGTAACAGTAATATAGAATAGAAAGATAAAGAAAAATAATGATAATAAAATATTAGAAGGGATTTTGTGAAGATTTCAGTATTTTCATAGTTGAAATCATGAGTCAATTGAATCTAGACCACCATGGAAAACCTAGAAGTACTACTTGACGGCCGTTTCATCCTATTATGGGACTCCACAGCAATGAGAATCCATGATCTCGCCTTGCAGGTGAGATTCAAACTCATGAGACACACAATAGGATGAAATGGCCGTCCAGGTTTTTCTTGGTGGTCTATCATCAATTGACTCATTCTTTCAATTATGAAAATAATATATGAATCAATTAAAAATACTACTAATAATGTTAATCACTACTACTAACAATGAATCTATGTATCTAAATAAGCAGAATTAATTAATTAAAAAGGATTTATACTACTTATCATTCTATATCAGTAGTAATGATAATTATATAACTAATAAACATTCAATACTTTTTTTTGTACAACAACCAAAACTTCTTTATTAACATAGTTTGATATCTCAATTTAAAAGAAAAAGAATGAACAACATGACAAATGAGAATAACAGTATGAATATGAGATAATGATGGATCATAGAATTCGAGATTATTCTTTTTAATCATATCAAAGATTGATTCAAAGGCCTTGAACTGAACAATTAGTTAGGATACAAAAACCAACCAACGGAAAAAAAAATCGATAATTTAAGAACACTAGAAAGAATTCCTGATATTTTCTTCTCTTTTTTTTCATTTTCAAGTGTACTATGTACTTTCTATTCCTCAACGAGGGTTAACAGGCGTAAGTAAGTAAGTAAGTAAGTAGGTATGAAAACCAGCCAAGAAAAAAATCAATATTTTAAAAACACTAGGAAAAACATTTAACATTCTCTTTTTTTTCATTTTCAAGTGTACTATGTACTTTCTATTCCTCCACGAGGGTTAACAGTCGTACGTAAGTAAGTAAGTAAGTAAGTAAGTAAGTATGTACTTTATATGGAATTAACTATTTCATAAGTATTCAATTGAAGAACTGATCCAACGAAAACAATAATAACAACAACAACAACACTAATAACTGATAAGTTAACAATCAATATGATTCTGTTAGATCTTCCTTTCTTCTATATCAATTTGTTGATGTATATACATATATATGTATGACGTAATATGTGTACTTTTTATCAGTTTGTAACCTGGTAACGAAGAAACCAATAAACTTGAAGTATTGAAATCAAAAAGAAAAAAAAAAAAAGAAAAAGAAAGTTTATTCTTGATGGATGGTTGTTGGCTTTAATTCCATTGGACAAGTTTCATGTTGTTTCTTCTCTCGATCAATATTACTAGCCCAGTAAGTTGTATTATTTTCTAGATTATTCATTAGTTCAGGTATAGGAAAAACACCTAAAAACATAAAAACAGAGATATAAAGCATTAGGATATGTGTTATTATCTCAGCTCAACTGGTCAATCTTTAATTGGAATATGTGCATACTATGCGTATTGTCTCGACATTGCCTTAATTCATAAGTATTATAAGCAAAGATGGATAATGACTAGCAGTGGAATACAGGATGCGCGTTTCGTGGATAACGCGATGGCGTTTAAAGTGAACGATACTGAGTTCGTGTCCTAGAGTGAACATCAACTCTGAGATCCAGCTGATGTGGACCGAATAGGAAGAAATGCGCGTCCTGGATTCTACAGCTAGCCACTATCCATTTTTGCTTATAATTCATATAATAATTATCAGTATGTCGATTTAGGGATTTTTGAATTTTATTCAGATCATGAATCGATCTAAGTTAGATTATTGAAAATCTGGAAGCATTGGAAGGTCGTTTCACCTTGGTTTGGAACTTCTGAGGTGTGTCTGTTTACAACTCTTCAACAAGGAATCGATCTGAGGAACCTGGAATTTTTTCGTTTCTAACACACTTCTATGGTGATGCCCAAGTTAGAGAGGAGTTAGCCAAGCTTTTTATAAGTTGAAAAATTGGGCTTATAAATATGGATTCCGATAACTTCAGTGATAGATAAAACATGATGTCATACGATAAATAACCTCAAATTTTTGTTTAAGTCAACCTAATGCTTATTGTCCATCAAGTTAGCGAGAATAAAACTCAAAATAATCCTTAATTATGCTTTTCTCAATCATGTTGAATGATGTTCGGCGATAAGATTACCGATTTGTCGAATTGTACGTCTAATGTAACTGGTTTATAGATACTCAGTTCAAGAAAATTATCTTCTTCTGAAAGGTTTTTATCATCAAGGTTATTTTAATTGCTTTTATGTGTTGATGAATTTAGTCAAATAACCGGTTTTACTAAAAACAGGCTACTGATACTCCTGAATTAAACTTTGATAACGCCATTGGTACAAACGATTGACTTGTTAATGACTTGTTAATTTTATTCCAATCTGATTCGTACCGAACTGTAGAAATGAGTATACTGGCTGGTCACTGGTTTTTAATGTATGCCTCTTTTTTCTATTAGTATTATTTTATTGTAATAAGACATATTTATATCTGTATGACGAAGTACTGACGGAAACCAAATACTTCTTTCCTCTGTGCTTCTTTTTACTAACTGTAAGCCAAGGGTAATATCGCGGACCACCTCCTGGAGAGTCAGTTGGCAAGGTTATCGAAAATAACATTTTATACAACCTTACTATGAGTACCATAAAGTAGCTACCCACTGGTGAATATCTGAGTAATCGCCGATATATCGTGACTGATTAATTGCTTATATACATAAGCTGCATTTAACTAAAAAAATTTTTTAAATTCTTTTTCCAATAGTAATAAACAACCAAAAAGCCGTTGGCTCAACCAGTTCAGTAGTAACATGCCTGACGGTGACAATGTGTGACATAAGTTCCAATCCTATGAGGTATGCATCATCCCTCAACATTGCAGATGGACGATTCTGACATGTTTCATTTAGGGAGAGACTGTGGTTCACGTTTTCTTGCCTATTTCTTTTAACGTCGAACCATCTAAACTCCCTTGAGTTATCTAGACACAGGGGGAGCCAACTGGAGTTTCAACTTTAAAAATAGTCGTCGATGTTGCACAGCTAACAAGTTGCTGTGGTAGACAACAAACCAGATTCCAGAGGAGGAAGAAATCAGGAAGAAGCGCTGGAAGTGGATTGGGCACACTTTGAGGAAATCACTCATTTGCGTTACAAGACAAGCCCCCACATGGAATCCTGAAGTCCAAAAAGGAAAAGAGTAAGTCCAAAGAACACATTACGCCGAGAAATGGAGACAAACATGAAAAGAATGAACAAAAATTGGATAGAACTAAAAAGAAAGGCCCAGGATAGAGTAGGTTCGAGAATGCTGGTCGGTGGTCTATGCTTCATTGGGAGTAACAGGCGTAAGTAAATAAGTAAGTAAGTAATGTTGTACAGTTCATTAACTTCTTAGTTTCCTATTGATACATTAAACCAGTGTGACTAATTTTGAAACACATTTGACCAAAATATACAGCTGACTTACAGTCAAATCCTGAAAACATTCCTTTTAGAAAGAAATCAATAAATGACAATTGTGACTGAGAAATATTACACGTTTGTCGATCAAAATTTGGCATAACAATAGGCAAATTACGTCGTTTCTCTTCTTCAGTCTAAATTGTAAAAGGTTAAAAGAAGAGAGTAGGTATATGTATATTTTGGAAAACCTTTCTTTAAAATTTACTTTCTAAACATAAATGTCAGTCTATATTTTAAAAATAATAAATCGATTGTAGCTAGACCATCGTGGGAAACCTGGAAGCACTGAACGGTTGTTTCGTCCTGTTTTGGAACTCTTCAACAGTGCACATCCACGATCGCGCCTGGCCGGATTTGAACCCAGTGGAGCAAGTCCATGTCAGTAAGAGACAGGTATCTACCTCAGTGCAATAGAAGTTGGTCGCGCAAATTCGTGGATTGGTTGAGGTTGTACATTAACACCTCTGGATTCCGGCTCAGTGGTCTATCGGTTAAGTGCTTTGGCGCCAGACTGGTAGGTCCTGGGTTTGAATACCGCTAGGCTGTCCCAAAGCAGAACGAAACGACCGTCCAATGCTTCCAGGTTTTCCATAGTGGTCTAGCTTCAATTGACTCATAATCTTAACTATATAAAATTACCAAAATGTCCACAAAAACCCCTTCGTGATAAATGTTATTCGTTAAACAATTTTCAGCAGATGGATTCGAACAAGAATCTAATCACATTTTAAAAAGTGCTGATTAGTGTAACCATTTAGTTAAATCAATAATATCGTAGAAATCATCAGATCTACGACGGTATCGTTAGTCCAATGCAAGGAATTGGTGAGTTATGAAAAGTAAGTGGATTTCTTTTATGAAATCAGATTATGGGTGGGACTAGAACTGAGAGGATCAATAGTAAAAATAAATAATAAATAATAATGAGGGTTATGATTTTAATGTCATGGGTAAACCAGTTAAACATCGGTGTCGTAGAATGATGATCCTGTTGACTAAACTTTGAATACATAACTCGCTCATTTACGTTTAACATTATTTGATTAATAAGATGGTGGTTGTAGGTGGTCAACAGGAAACCCTGGACCCGAGTTTCGTGCAACTTGGCACTCGTCAGCAAGGTGTACCTGTAATCTTGAAGGAACTGGTGCTTCCTGACGGATTCGATCCCGTGTCACTGAGCTTCACAGTCAGAGACGTTACCACTGAGCTATTCGGGCCACGACCGACCTCCTGTAGGACTGAGATCTAATCACAATTGATTCATCACTGGGTGATGATCAATGTCATGCGTGTCAAGTCCTTCTTTGATTAATCAACTTATCTCACTAAATCTGAATTTTCTACTTTGATTTCATCATGATGTAGTGCATATACACTGGTGAAGAGATATGTACTTAAATGAAATGGATGTTCAGTTCTCCTTTAGATTTGGACGGTTCTATAGGTGAAATCAATTCCTTGATAGAAACCGTATTTCATTCCGTATGTTTAGTATTCCATTTAGGTGTTAAGTTTTATTTCTTTTAAAAATAAAATATGGAAAATAGCTATTACTTTGAGTCATAGGTTTCCACATTGTTATCAGATAAACCAATAGGAACCTAAATGGTTCGACAAATTATTTTTTTAAATGAAGCTTATAAAACTGAGAAATACTACATGACCAGTTTCCCCCAAATGCCCTGGTACGATCGCAAGTGGGGAGAGTCCGCTCTCCCTCTCAAAATGTTCTCATACGACCACGCGTATACAGCCTCTGCCACACAAGTCCAACTCACTGCCTTCTCGCGGCATTATTGTTCTTTACGAAACTGGGGAGGATGATAAGCGAATCTCCAGCACTTTAACCGAGTTGGTGGATACGGAAAGTCCACCTAGGGGAGTTGGAAAACCCTCGTTCCAAACCAATGGTGCACATGGGCTCCAGTATCTTGAGGGAACAAATGGTGTATGAATCAATCGTTGGTCACTGACTACCGTGGGACTGCATCTACCTACGATGTTCCACTGCCTTGTGGATCAGATCTTTAGATCAAAGGCTCCGGGTGTGGCCCCCCTAAGAAAACCACCTGCTCTTGTTTGGGCATCCGGACAGTATTACAACCCTCACACAAATCAAATGAGATTTGTGTGACGCACATGTATCTGGTGGTCCTTTGTACCAATATTTATGGGTTTAAAGAATAAATAATTATAATCTCAGTAACGTCAATGAGTTTAATGCTCTCTCATATCAATTCAGTTTCAAGGAAGGTATACTTTTCATCATACTTTCACAGAAAAAAATGTCAATAAACACAAACTCCTCTATAGAGTACTACTAAGCTATTTGTATGACATATCAAAAAAACTTAGTATGATACCCTAATTTGCCTGTCACCTTAACGTCTTGATTGTAAGAGTTCTGTTACTAAATTTTGAATTTAAACATCTTTTCGATAGAGTTTTGTTCTCTGAGCTGGATGGTTTGGTCGTGGAGCTTTCATCATCCTTCTGAATGACATTATCAGCACAAACCGGTCTTATGGTCGAACCGTGGAAAGAATCATGATATAAATTTTTGTCTAGTTAAAAAAACCAAATTTACTAACTTGACAAAAGTATTCTTCAGCTATTCTTGTTGCCCATTCTTTGCATATAGATAATGGTCTTGTAGGATTATTAACATCGGAGCATTTAATAATTAAACGTTTAATTAATGTTCTATTTTCTGCAGTTGACAGATTTTCTAATGTACTAGATATACGTTCTTGTCCAGGACTTGGTGAAGTAGAATGTGATATTGCCATTCCCATGGAACACGATTCCATAGAACTCATACTACCAACAGATGAACGGTCATGGTGCTGTATTGAAAAAAAGTAGAGTTTTTTTAGATTAGCGCATTTTTTTAAACCTAACATATTTATGTTATAAAATGAGTTTGAAGGAAGATAACTTTATCAGAAGAGGTTTTTGTGGAGATTTAATATTTTCATAGTTGAAAGCGTGAGTCAATTGAAGCTAGATCACCAGGTCTATCAGTTAAGTGCTCTGGCGCGAGACTGGTAGGTCCTGGGTTCGACCCTCGCGCGGCGAGGTCGTGGATGAGCACTGCTGAGGAGTCATACATTAGAACGAAACAGCTGTCCAGTGATTCTAGGTTTTCCTTGGTGGCCTAGCTTCCATTGACTCACGCTTTCAACTATGAAGATAACATTGATTTAAAAAACTTTAATGAAGTATAAATGTAAGATACTCTGTAGCGCTACATCAAATGATAACTTTTGATTTAATCGTGTCACTTAAGTGTAATATAATCACGGTCTAAGTGAATCAATGTAACGTACACTATGTTTTCACCTAAGTCAGTGGTTAGAAGCAGTCAGCAAGAAACATTATTTTTGAGTTTAATCCAAACTGGTGTATACATCCAGTTTTACTTAAAATCCTGAGAAAACTGATACTTCATATGAAACTAGGATCTAAGCCATCTAATCTGAGATTTCACTATTGTGCTATTCAGGTAGTGACTGACCTTCTGTAAGACTGGGGTATTCACAATTAACACCTAATTCCTAATTTTTTTAGTCATCTTAAGTATTATGTTTTCATATAATGAATTCATCCTTTCAGAGTTTACTTTTAATTAGCTTTCAACTTTAATAATACCGACTTAGTCAGATTTAAACCATAAGGTGATCATCGAAAAAGTACCCACTTTAATTTCAGTTTCAGTATATATATATATATATTAAGCTTACATTTAAGACTGACTATTTTTACCATTGTCATTATATTTCTATGTAGTTTTAAAAAACGTTAACATGCTTTTCTCCTAATCACTAATTACCTTTATAATAATAATAGTGATCGAAAACAGCACTGATTTGGGAGTTACATGTGATAGACCTTACTAACATTTAGGTTATACGACAAGATTCTAAGCAAAGACGGATAGTGGCTAGCAGTGGAATCCCTCGACCGTTGATGCTACCTTGACTTGGTGGTTGGGCTTGCCTATCGTGATGAATAAATCGAACTATACTGGCTGCGACAATCGTTTCTCAAGGTCCTACCATGCCAGACAGGTCGGATGCGCGTTTCGTTTTATTTGGACCTCATCAGCTGGATGTACCTGAAACTCAGAGTTGATGTTCACTCTGGGATCCGAATCCACCATTCCTTAGAATGTTTATGAATTAAGCCAATATTGAGGCAATATGCACAGAATGCATATATGTCAATAAGAGACTGATCAATTTCAGTCCTAAACATCAATGAAAAGATTCAAGTAAACAGTACCAAGTGAGTATAAATGTTGATTTGTTCATAGAATCAACTATCTAATGTAATATGTTCATTGTTGACTTGTTTCAAAATGATAGATTGAGATAATTAACTGATATCATAGAACACTGTCTAGAAATTTAATAACCACTTAGTCAACTATAAGGGATTTAAATTGTCAACTAGTCTGAGAACAATCAATCAAAGATTCAGTCATATTTTCGCTTATTGAAATACAGGCAAGCAGTAAACTGACTTAGTAAATAACGACTTGGAATTGTTTGCTTGTATCTTCAGATTGGTGCTTAGGACTGCAATTGATCAGTCACTTACTGGCATATGTGCATCCTGTGCGGACTATCTCGATATTTCCTTAAGCCATGAGCTTTATAAGCGAAGATGGATGGTGGCTAGCAGTGAAACAACGGGACACGCGTTTCGTTCCATTTGGGACTCGTCAGCTGGATGTAGCTAAATCCCGGAGCAGTTACATCCAGCTGACGAGTCTTAGATAACACAAAACGCGCGTCCAACATCCCACTTCTAGCCACCAACAATCTTTGCTCAGTAAAGAGTGATTAGAAGAATGAAAAACTAAAGTAAACATCAAATGGATTATCACCTAAATAATATTAAAACAGATAATAATAACTTACTCGATTCTTTGCAAGCATTGGTTTACTCAATGTGTTTACAAATTTTGTAACAATATCAAAATGTCGTACCATTTCAGTAGCTAATACCATATCAACAATATAGCTACGCATTGTACGATATTCTTCTCTGTATAATTAATGAAGGAAAGAAATAATCATCTAATGAAACACTAAGTTAAAAACTGAAGGTATACTGAAAAGGTTGTGATCCTGTTTTGTGTATTATGGAGAGTACTCACTGTGAGGATGGTCCACAGGTGAAGTCGAGGAAGCTCTAAGAAGCGCAGAAGGAGCCCGACATATTCCATCCAATCAGCTTTGAGAAGAATATTCTAGAATTGCTACATGGAGCTTCCCTATTGGACAATTCTGATAACTCCCTGTGTGCGGATTGGACAACTATAATGATGATTTTGTTTCTACTAAAAACTATAAATACCTGACAATTTTGTACCATAAACGAGACTGTTTCGAATAACTCTCCTTCTACTTGTCTTCTGTCTTCTTATTTGTGATTTGGGAGGGTTCTAGCGTTCGAGTGCTCAAGTATCGTGCGATAGACTAAGAAATTCGAAGTTCACTCACTTATAGGGCCATCAGATGCTTTGAATTACCTATGAGCTGACGATTTGTTTTTTTCATTTAAATTGATATAATTGACTTCTGTTTTTTTACGGTATGGTGTGAAAACTGCACCATGATATCGATGGATAACTGTTTTTCCTCTAAAATGACCAAGTGGAATTATTCACCACTTCTCTTTATTAATTCTTGATTGATTACGCAATCCATTCGGCTAAATAAACACTCTACATAACCTTTCTCAAGTAGAAACGCATAAGAAGCGTCTAGCTCAAAGTAAATGAAATAGATGTTTTATATAGGTGGTAATGTAAGGACCCATATATCGTACAGAATGAATAAGTTAATAGTTATCATGGTCCATCAATCTTGATGAAACTTCTAAAATAGATATTTAGAAGCTAATGAATGATGAGCTATAGAAGATTATTTCTGCAATATCGTATCTGTTGTGTAATACGTATATATAAAATCTATCTGATGAAATGCACAATCATCAACAGACCATGCACTTATGAATTCTAATCACAATTGCTTGATCACTGGGTGGTGATCAATCTCATGCGTGTCAGGTCCTTAGTGCTGATCGAATGCTATCGATCAAGTTGCAATGTGGCCACCAGTCTAGGTGGCTCGACACTGCGGGCACTATATATATTAGGGTAACATGGTGGTTGGAGGTGGTCAACAGGAAACGCTGGACCCGGATTTCGTGCTACTTGGCACTCGTCAGCAAGGTGTACCTGTAATCCGCCAGGGAGCATCAGTTCCCTCAAGATTACAGGTACACCTTGCTGACGAGTGCCAAGTAGCACGAAACCCCGGTCCAGGGTTTCCTGTTGACCACCTCCAACCACCATGTTACCCTAACTTATGAATTCTACTTTACAAACACTGTCGCAACTTCTTGGAAATCCCATCATTGGGATTGGCTTGATTATTACAAATAATATGACGCTGGTCGAGTACTAAAACCTACTCCATCTGCCATGTATTATTCATCATCCTAGCCAATAGTCGTAAGCTGTTGTTATATGTTTCAACTTCTCTTAATTATTTGTTTATTTGTGTTAATTCTGGCTTAGTTATGTACAAACTACGATTTCTGATTGGTGGTGTGGCATGATCTGTATACCACCCCTGTGAGGATTTGAGATGTAAGGCACAGAAGGACAATATCAGAGATCTTCTTGTTAACTTTGTCTTCTGATTAGACACCGAGATTGAAAGGGTTTGTGTACTAATAAACTTTAAGGCCTCGGCCATTTTATCATATTCATTGGGTGGTTTGTTTGGAGTAGGTCATTGATTCCTATTATACATATAATTCAATATTCACTAAATAACTGTATAAGCAACTGGAATTTCTTGTGATATTGGTAATTTTGAATGAAAAACTTCATACTGTAATCAAAGTAAAGCGCTATATAAGTGAGCTCTTGTTACTGTCAAAATAGGTTGAAAAACTAATTATTCCTCTACGATTTTGGTGCTGTATTAACCTCGACTTTGGAATCAGCAAGTAACAATTACCGTGAGTGAACACTTGCCATCTATGGATTCAGTTTGATGTCGCAGCGTTTTTTCCAATACTCTTGGTGTTGCAGAAATACCCTTTCCATATAAAACAAGTAAGTAGAATTTCACATACGTGTGCGACTACATAAGAATATTTTGTAAGGTATGATGAGGCCATACTCACGTTCATTGGAAGGGTGAGTTTGATGCATGAATGATCAACCTATAGAAAATATGAATGTGCGAAATACACACCAAGAATTTTAAAGGTATCACATACCGTGTCAAATTCTGAAAAATATTGATGTCAGGTGATCGAAGAGTTAATTCAAATGAAACTGCCGCATGATGACTTTCTAATACAGCACTTTAATAAAAACAAAAGAAAAAAAAGTACATATATAACGATTGAATAATTCCAGCTTAACAGTTTGGATTCACTAAATAAGCATTGGAATATATGTTGAAGAAAGTCGACTTACTGATTGATGAAAGCATACCAAAAACAGAATAACGAATTTAAGCACAGATGTAGAGTGTCTAGCTTTAGGATCCAGGATACACGCTTCATCCTATTTGTGACTCATCAGCTGGGTGTGAACAGTAACTCTAGGTTCCAGACATGTTGAACTATCGAGTCCAAAATAGGACGGGACGCGGATCTTGGATTCCACTGTTAGGCACTATAAATCTCTGCTCATAATGCTTTTGACTTAAAGCAATATCGAGCCCGTCCGCACAGGATGCACGTATGCCAAAAGAGACCAGTCAACGCAATGTTGAACACCAATCAGAAGATACAAATAAACAACATAAACTAAAAGAGGTAGTTTGATCCATTTAGGTAGCTTTTTAAATATTCAGTTTTGGTAATAATCCTCTTATACTTTGTCACTATGAATAGTCGTCAATATATTATGTAATATACTGAGAAAATTATATTTTACTATGCCATACGGAATTCTTATGATGGATTAAATTGCCAAATCATCCATGGAGGACAACTCACCGACTTATTCGAGGTAAAGTCCGGTGTTAAGCAAGGTTGATTAGTCTCAACCTTCCTCTTTCTCCTGGTGATCGACTGGATTATGAAGACGTCAACATATGGAGGGAAGCACGGGATACATTGGACAGCTAGAATGCAGCTGGACGATTTAAACTTCGCAGATGATCTGGCTCTCCTATCACACACGCAACAACAAATGCAAGAGAAAACGACCAGTGTAGAAGCAGCCTCAGCGGCAGTAGGTCTCAATACAGACAAAGGGAAAAGCAAGACTCTTCAATACAACACAATATGCACCGATCAAACCACACTTGACAGAGAAGCTTTAGAGGATGTGGAAAACTTTACATATCTGGTCAGTATCATTGATGAACACGGTGGATCTGATGCAGATGTGATGGCGAGGATCGGCAAAGCAAGAGCAACATCTTTACAATTGAAGAACATCTGGAACTCAAAACAATTGTCAACCAACACCAAAATCACAATTTTCAATACAAATGTCAAGACAGTTCTACTGTATGGGGCGGAAACCTGGAGAACTACGAAAGCCATCATCTAGATGATACAGGTGTTTATTAACAGTTCTCTACCCAAGATACTTCAGATCTGTCGGCCAGACACTATCAGCAACATTCTACTGTGGGAGAGCAAACCATGTTTCAGTGGAGGAAGAAATCAGGAAGAAACACTGGAAGTGGATAGGACATATATTAAGGAAATCACCCAACTACATCACAGGGCAAGTCCTCATATATAATCCTGAAGACCAAAGGAAAAGAGGAAGACCAAAGAACACATTACGCCGAGAAATGGAGACAGATATGAGAATAATGAACAACAATTGGATCGAACTAGAAAGGAAGGTGCAGGACAGATTGGGTTGGAGAATAGTGTTCGGTGGCCTATGCTCCGTTTGAAGTAACAGGCGTAAGTAAGTAAGTAAGTTATTAATGTTATTTTCAGCAGTGCACTATATTACAGGATTTAACATTGAAAATAGAGTAACGATTAGATCATTTTCTCCTCGATTCATTCAATGTCACTTTCAGTTGCGTCCGCATTTTCCAAATTTCTAGAAACTTGAACGAGACAAACTCTGCTAAAAATACACTCACATCCATCTTAGCCATTAAATACATGGTAATTTTGGATCACATGTGTTATGTGATCTTGTCCAGCTGTCCAAATCCAGCCAAATAAAGTAGTCTTTGAATTACCGTTTACTAGTCGAAGGATAATTACGTCAACTACTTAACTAATGTTGAACACGTCATTTCGTCGATTTCCAGATTAACTGAAAGGACATCTGCACAAATATTCTGAATGACATCCAACCAGTGTTCAAATCCGTGTAAACTATTTTCTTTCATCAAAAATTACTCAATCATAGGTTCAATCATTTCATAAACAAATGATAATAAATAACCCGTACAGTAAATTTCACTAAAGCACTTACATATCATTGTATAGAATGGCTAACGGATCATTACTGTTCACAAGAAATGGATTTGTTTTCCCCGGATGGTCTACATCGTGTACTATTGCAGCCAAAAGTGTAGCAACTTCATCGATATTTGTGCATATTGACTGGAATTCAATAATAGGCAATAAGAACAGAGACAGTTATTTAAGAATGTCTGTGAAAAGGGAAGTCCTATATTATCAACGACTTTAAACTATATTCTTTTGTTATATCAGGAAGTCGATAGTGCCAACTAGTTATTCAGCGAATTGCCCTAAAACCACTCGTGATGAAGTTAAGTCCGAATAGCGAACGCGTGACCAACAATGATGTATGTCACATTGAAAGACTTTAAAAGTAAAAATCCTCCTCACCACTGTAATAATCAATCCACATTTAAATTAAGTGGCTGACGCTTGACATTTAGAACACTGAGTTAACATCCATTGTTTTACAACTATAAATTTAGTCCATTTGAGATATTTTGCCATCATATTCCAATTAAATTGATGAATAACTACCTCACACTCTACTTGGTTAAACTTTACCTATTACGATTTTTTTCTAGAATTCGTAGACTTATCTCAAGGAATCAGTCTACAGTAAAAATACAATTATTTAACCATGGCAGAATACCATGGTGAATACTATTCAATCTCATGACTTATATTAACAAATCAACTAATGTCCAAACTGTCGAACATTGAACCTCTTGATATCTTTTATTTCATCTTGTATAAATTTGTAGATGTACCATACTGCAAAGTCCTAGAAGATAATGAATACAGCTTCTCTGTATTGATAGGATCATCCATTCCGATTATTAAACTATATACTTGTATTCAAACATTTGATATTAGCGACAATATGTTCCATTGTCATAAATATTCATCCGAACTGATAAGTTGCCACTGGGTTATAGTCATCGATACCTCATATATTGCTGCTCACATTACAATGTAAATCAACATCTCTGTTTATGTCATAATTTGTACAAATTTAGTTTTTATAAGTATTTGTGGCGTAGGCGAGATATCCGTCTAGCAATCAAAGGATGGGTTTACTGTGCAGCAGTTCGTTCCGTCCTAATTATGGTAGTGAAACATGGCCGATAAGAGTAGAGGATATTCGTAGGCTACTAGTATTCGATCATAGATATCTTCGAAGCATTGCTCGTGTATCCTGGGATCACCGAGTAAGCAATGCAAATGTTAGGAAACGGGTACTAGGTAAGGATGGGAAATTGATTAATGAAGTAGTGAAACTTCATCAGTTGAGATGGCTGGGACACGTGTTACGTATGCCCAACCACCGACTGTTCCGACGTGCAATGTTTCATGGTGTAGGTGTAGGTCGGAAGAAAGCTATGGGCGGCCAGATCTAAACGTGGCACAAATCCATGAAGTCACTGACAAATGGACTGAGCCATGTTGGTAGGTGCAAACTACCTGGTTGGGATTCGCGAGATGATAGCAATCGATGGTTAGAGACCTTGAATGACATGGCTCAAAATCGTTTGCAATCGCGAAGGTGCATCCACTCTTTGTGTTCTGTCAAATTTTAATCTTCTAAATTCTACATGTTACTATCTTTTTTCTCTTTTCAAATTTATTTCACTGGATTATACTCCTTCAATAAAATCTTCAAACCCTAATCTTTTACAATAATGCTTATACTCTCACTACTGCCACTATGGGATTGGAATGGACAACTACATTTCTGTGTTAATGTGGTATGGCAACTCGAACTGATGTACATAGGTACGAAGTTGTACGTTGTGACTGACTGACTGTGAAAGATTTAATGCATATGAAATGATGAATTCAAAACCATCTCATTTTCAAATATTCATTGCATGACTATGTAGCTTACAATTCAAATAATCCAACGCTTCCAACATATAACAACAAAACAACTCTCATTGTTGATAACAGACGACTATGTGTATACAGTTTCAGATACAAGAAACCTAACCGAAAGTTCACATTGAAGTCATGTGAATGTTATTCTTTACATTTTTAAATGACACTGATAAACTCACTCTTATTAAACTATGTTGTAGAAAATAAGCTGATGCTTGTAGAACATCACCTGCATGTGTAGCATTATGGTATGGATTATCAACATGATAATGTTCTTCAATGACTGTTAACCAACCGACTAAAATTTGACTAGGTATACGTAGTACACTAAGAGCATTAAAACTGTCCAATATTTTCATACCTAAACAAGTTAGCGGTCTGAAAAAAGAAAACATATACAGAAAATGAATCTATTTTCAGAAAATACTATGTTGCCAATGAAATAGTAAAATTGAGTTCATATGAAATTAACTTGTATCGTTTTTTTCAGTTTTCTATTGGTTGCTTAAATCTTCCCATTGATGTTTAGGACTGTAATTGATCAGTCTCTCGTTGAAATATGTGCATCCTGTGAGGATTGTCTTCAGTCCTAGAATGAGCGTTAACTATGCGATGCAGGTGCATCGAGCTGACGAGTTCCAAATAGGACGAAACGCTCGTCCTGGATTCCATTGCTCCTCACCATCCATCTCTGTTTATAATTATATACTTTTTGTTGTACAAATAAGAATCGTCGGTCGGTCACAGCCAGCGCGTGAGTTGATTTAAATAAACTTTATATATCGTCTGACCACAATTAGTAAAGAACTTAACAAGGTAAAGTCAAAAACGGGAAGTATAATAACATAATAATTATGCGACTTAAAATGTTGAGTGATTTGCACAACGAATCCATAGTAGTCATTGAGAACAAACCATTACTAAAACTTTTTCACGGATTCTAACTAGAACTTTTAAATAATCAGAATCCCGTGGTTCGCAACAATGATATCCAAAACACATTTTCCCTTTTTTTTCATTTTACATAGACTTAAGGCAAATATGCAAGTACATCCAGCTGACGAAATTCAAATAGGACGAAACGCGCGTCCTGGATTCCACTGCTAGACACTATCCATCTTTGCTTATAATGCTTGGGAATTAAGGCTATATCGAGGTAATACGCACATTATGCACATATGCCAATTAAAGACTGATCAGTTGCAGTCCTAATAATCAATGAGAAGATTCAAACAAACAATACCAAGTGAATTTAAAGACTAAATGAGTTTGAATTTTGAACTAAGGATGATTTTACTTGATTTTCTTTGGTGAGTGCTTCAATAAGCAGATTCTGAGCAATTTACAAATCAAATAGTATATGACTATAGTTTTTCAACTCATTTTCATTTCTCATATGAATACCCTTCATTTGAGTTACATGAATATTTAATGGTTTCAGATACTCAATTAACAAAGTATATTTGCAATCTTTGGGGAAACTGATCTTCATGCCTAATATTGCTTCGGCGCGAGACTGGTATGTCCTGGGTTCCAATCTCACGAGGCAAGGTCATGGATGCGCATTGCTAAGGAGTCCCACAATAGGACGAAACGGCCTTCCAGTACTTCCAGGTTTTCCATGTTGGTTTAGCTTCAATTGACTCATGATTTCAACTATGAAAAATAGTGAAATCTCCACAAAACCCCTTCTGATTATAACTCATTATATCATATTATTCTAAGTCTAAAAATTCTCTAATGTTTACTTTTTATTAGTTATCCGTTCAAGATCAAATATATTGAAGTCCCATTTATCAAAATTTGAAAGGCAAGCTTCAATTTCTGGACTATTTTGTAGAGTTGAAAGTGTTGTTGAAGCATTTTCGGATCCTGAAAACAAAAAATCAAAATCATTTGAATTAACTATAGAAATAAGTACTAACTGAACTCTGTCCATTAAGTTTCAGTTTTCTCCAGGATCAAGACGACTTGTCATCGAAGTACACTGAGGCTTTCACAAACACCTAAAACATCTGTTTTTCAACAATGTAAATATCGCAACTCATCTTCCTATTTTCAACGTATGAATTATGAATGCTGACTGTATATATTCACTAGCTTTGATTAAAAGTTAATGTCCTATCACTATGTTACAGACTGGGATAGCCTGAACTACGGCAGTGCAGCCATTGACTACCTTTTCCCACCCCCATGCTTATACTATGAATAAACGAAGAGGAATTACATTGGAATTCATGGAATTAATATTTTATAGATGGAAAAAATAGTTGCAATGGCTAAAACGATAAAAAAACCTTTCCCTTTAAGAATAGGTATGAGACATATAAAATACATAATTGAACTATTACTATTCGAACATACATTAGAAAGAAATATTTTGATGGACCATTAATGAAAATTTCTTATTGTTCCACTGTTTGTGGCATAGAGAAAACGAAGTAATAAGATAGTTAGGTAATCGTCAGTATGTTCTAGACGTGTGATTTTTGGGGTTGGAACTCATTAGTAAGATGTATCCATGTAGTGAGCAAGAACTCTATTAGGGACAATCGAATGTATTTTGAGCATGAAATTATAGAATATCTCACTAAATCTGACAACTATATAGTAAACAGGTAATTTGCTCAATCTTGACCATTTCTTCTGCAAATATCAGTCCAATTATTATTGCATATGCACGGCACAAATCTTATTTGATTTGTGTGAGGGCTGTGGTACTGCCCAGGTGCCCAGACTGAAGCACGTGGGTTTTTTTCTTAGGAGGCCACACTCGGAGCCTTTGACCTGAAGGTCTAGTCCACAAGGCAGTGGAGCATCGTAAGGAGGTGCAGTCTCATGGTAGCCGGTTATCAACGATTGATTCATACGCTATTTGCTCTCACAGGATACTGAAGCCCATGTGCACCATTGGTTTGGAATCAGGGATTTCCAACTCCCTTAGGTGGACTCGCCGTGTCCACCAACCCGGTTCAAGCGCCGGGCATTCGCTTTTTGTTCCCTCAATTTCGTAAACAACATTAGTCATTCAATAGGATATCACTGCAGAGGCTATAAACGCGTGCTAATGAGAGAGCATTTCAAGAGGGAGAGTGGACTCTCCCCACTCTCGGCCGTACCAGGGCATTTGGGGGCAATAATAATCAGTTTGTTACTAGGGTAGTAATTGACCATTATCAAGATGAAATCGTTTACACCCTCAAGTCATGAAGTAGTTATCAGTATTATGTAATATTTTTAAAGAAATCAATTTAGTTATATCACTATTATCCTATTAAATGGGTATTCTTTCTTACCTTTTAGAGATTTAGCCAAAGATCGAAGTTTTAATAAGTTCTCTGGTTCTCTAGCTAAATTTGATCCCTAATAATAAAAAAGTGTTAATGTTTACAAATTCAGTTTATCATATAACAATAATAATAATAATAAAGAAGGAGAAGAATATTAAAGATTCCCATTGTGATAATTAGAACAGAAATTTGGTTAGTAGGTAGTTTGTGGTACTCTTACTATTCTTGTATTGTTGGCTGCTGTCAACCAAAGTGTTCTTAAACCTAGCTAAGTCCTCCAATGATGTAGAAGAAGAAGAATCTATCATAATAAAAGTAATTTTCTTCTACTATAATGACTGCAAATCGATGTATCACATACGACCTAACTAGTAGCATCTGGAATCTGATTAAAAAACAGCTAAATAAAAAAGAAAAAGATCAGATACATAATGTGAAAAACATATATAAAAGGAGAAATTCTTGGATAAAAATTTATATGAAGAGATGAGTAGTTGCAAGCAATGGAATCCAGTTTGACGCGCGTTTCGTCCTATTTGGGACTCGTCAAATGGATGTACCTGTATCTCAGAGTTGATGTTCTTTCTGGGACTCGAACCCAGTACTTTTCGCTTCAAACGCCATCATGTTATCCACTCAGCTACTGAGTCTTGATAGCCATTTTCTTGTGCAGTGTGGTGAAGTTTGTTTGAATCTTCTCATTTATGTTTAGGCTATATCGAGTCGATACACACAGTATGCACATATGCCAATAAGAGACTGACCAGTTGCAGTTCTAACACATCAATGGGAAGTCTCAAACAAACAATACTAAGTGAATTACATGAAAAGAAGATAACTATAAAGAAAAAGAATATATAAGTGAACAATACTGTATTTGATTAGATCATCATCAAACTTTACCCAGATATACAGGAATATTTAGATAGATATATGAAAACATCAAGGTAATCAAGCCAATTTCTTAGTCAATGAACATAATGGAATAAATTCAGCCACTACACATATTAGGTAAAACATACAATTGATATTAAGTGGGCGGATGAACTAATAATAAGAATAATGAAATAACTGAAGACTATGGTGAATGTGTCACTCAATTTCGTGGATCAGTTGAAGTTAGACGTTAACATCGTTAAACGCCGGTTTAGTGGTCTAATGGTTAGGCACTCGCGCGCGAGACTGATAGGTCTTAAGTGTGAATCGCGTGAGGCGTGATCATGCATGCGCACTGGCGAGGAGTCCCACAATAGGACGAAACGGCCATCCAGTGCTTCGAGGTTTTCCATGGTGATCTAACTTCAATTGACTTATGATTTCATCCATAAAATAACTAAGTCCTAATCAACATTTAAACATAGGAAGTAGGTCAAACTTAAATAAACAAACCTTAAAACGATAATCACGTAAAACTGAACGCCTTAAAATTCTCTCTCGTAAACTTCTACCTGAAGTTTGTGCTGATGATCTTGTTCAGAAGTACGATGAAAGGTGCAAAACCAAACCATCCAGCTCAGAGAACAAACCTACATCAAAATTACCAACCTAAGCTACAAATCTTCTCCATCATCTCTCTCGTAAAGTCAAACTGAAAGATTCATACATAATATAAGCAAAAGTTGACTATCATTGGTTATTCATAATAAAAGAAAAGGGTCTCATCTGATTTCACAAAAAGATTTATAAAAATAAATTGATTGAATCTCATAGGATTAATGATTGTTACTTACAGTAATTAAACCTTCAATTAAATCTGCTGTAATAGGATCATTTGTTCGACTTAATGGTTTCATTATTTGATCAACAAATACATTTGAACTACATATTAAATTAATAGCTTTTTGTAAATCTTTTGCCACTGGTAATGGACTACGTACACGTGCTGAGTTCAAAATTCCGATGACCTGAAATAACAAAACAAAAAAAAGTTACCATTCTGCTAATGATTGACTGATTCTTCAACGGATTTCAGTAGTATGAGTTGTAAACTTGTTTTCTTTTCAGTTTTAGAACAATCGTCTGGTGTACAGAATTCAAGTTAGTGGAATTCAGAAATTAGAAATCTATATGTAGATGACTGATCCAACAAATCGAGAAAACTAACTGTCCTTCAAATTACAATATGATTTGCCAAGAAAGTAGTCAAAAATAATAAACAATATAAGTTTTCCATTACAAGGATGAAGTAGCTGTTCAGTTTTAGTTGGTTGTACGAGTCAAGTCAGTGAGTGATGTGAGTTGAGAGAGACCCAAAGTAAATGATTTCTGATATTATTGGGCGAAACTCTAAAATTATTGACTGAACTTTGGAGTGATTAGTTTATGATTCTAATAAGGAGAATAAAAGGTCATTTTAAAGTTAGAAGCTTATTAAAACAAAGAGGCGTTTATATCTGTCGAATAGTAGCCAAAATTTTTAGAAATTGGTTAAATCAATTGTTCACTCTTAACTGACGAATAGAGCAAAGAAGTTTCTTTCAAGTTACATTTTATCATATATGTATATATATGAATTATAAGCTGAGATGATGGTGGCTAGCACTAGTATCCAATAAGCACGTTTCATCCTATTCGGCACTCGTCAGCTGGATGTACCCGCATTTCAGAGTTGTTACTCACTCTCGGACTCGAACCCAGGACCTATCAGTTTCGCGCGCGAGCGCATAACCACTAAATCACTGAGCTGGCTGGTATGCAACGGTTTTAATATCTGACTTCAACCGATCCATGACCAATATAGATAGCTTAAAATAACATACAAAGGTCATTTTATACAGTTTGAGTAGATGAAGACTTAAATGCGTCAGATGACATCCTATTTACATAGTAACATCTATGGTTACATGTTAAATGAGTATAGATTGAATTAAAGCATGTTCCGTACAGGATTTTGTCGGAGCACACTGATTTGCTATTTAACAACCAATCAGTGCTAGTGGAGACTTAGGGAAGACTCTAGAATCTTTTGATATAAAAATAATAAATATGCTAACATTTTTCATACTATGATTCCTACTTCAATCAACCTTTGTTATTTGGAATACAATTACGTTCTTATTCAATCGTGTTCTGATTTGAAAACTTGACGAGTGAAGCAGTATCCAAGAATACTAAGCAATAAGAGTCGATATAAGAGAAATTATAACATTATGAAATGAAGCTAATTGTCCTAGAGAATCATTTCAAGTACACTGATAATTACATCGATGTAAAGGAGAGACGAAATATAATCCGAGGTTATTCGCAGATTAACGGAAAATTTTAGCTTTCATACTTGAATTATTGACACTACTAATGATGTCATCACAATTGATTGATCATTGGGTGGTGATCAATGTCATGCGTGTCATGTCCTTCTTAGTGCTGATCGAATGCTATCGATCAAGCTGCAATCTAGCCAGTAGTCTAGGTGGCTCGACACTGCGTGCACTATGTTGAGATTAGATGGTGGTTGTAGGTGGTCAACAGGAAACCCTGAACCCGAGTTTCGTGATACTTGGCACTCGTCAGTAAAGTGTGCCTGTAATCTTGAGGGAACTAGTGCTGCCTGACGGATTCGATCCCGTGTTACAGTCAGAGACGTTACCAGTGAGCTATTCGGGCAGCGACTGACCTCCTGTAAGACTGAGATGTAATCACAATTGATTGATCACTGGGTGGTGATCAATGTCATATGTGTCAAGTCCTTCTTAGTGCTGATCGAATGCTATCGATCATAGAGACTTACCCATAAAAAAGTTAGGTTAGTGATTACTTTATAAGTAACAATATTACTACAATACAAAATTTGGAATCATGCAAACGATAACTAAGAATATTCTTATAAAACTTACTTTACACATTGGTGATGAAAAATCAGGACATCTAGAATGCAATAACGCACTTAGACTAACAATATTGTTTGTATCTATAAAGCAAATTACATTAAGGTTAATATAAACAACAAAGTTTTTATAATGAATATAGAGAGAGTACTAATGTAAGTTAAAAATGTGTAAAAACATGAGTAATAATAAGCATGAATAATCTTAAGAAACTATACAGACTAACACTTCATCCTTCTGATATACTCTTAAACTGTCTTATTAGTATTTATCTAAATTAATGTGCAAAAGTAACTTCCTCTAGTGACTAACTTCAAGAGATAACTTCTGGAGTTCTAGTGAGAAGCAGTAACCAGGGAATTTCAAACCATGACTGTTGTGAGATAGGAACCCACTGAAGATAATTCATGAACGGTTGCTCAACTTCGTGGATTGGTTGAAGTTAAACATGAACACCGTTGGATGCCGACTCAGTGGCCTATCGGTTAGTGGCTCTGGCACGAGACTGGTAAGACCTAAGTTCGAATCTCGCTCGCTAGGTGGGATCGTGGATGCGCACTGCTGAGGAGTCCCACAATAGGACGAAACGGCTGTCCAGTGCTTTCAGGTTTTCCATGGTGGTCTAGCTTTGATTGACTCATGATTTCAACTATGAAAATACTAAATCTCCAAAAAAAAAACCCTTTCTGGGAATAACAATCATTAAAAAACTATAAACCGGTGGACACGACTTTATCATTGTTTGACTGTGTACTGGATAGTACCCAGAGTTCTTATATTCTTCAATTAGTATATTGTCATTCAATTAGTCTTTCACAATCTTACAGTTCATATATATTTTAATTTTATTCATATCGGAATACTTTATTATTCATTGTCATTTATAATTACCTATTTTACTCTTGTCATTGAAAATTGGGAATATAAATTTTTACAGTTGGCCAGCAATTAGCTTAGTGGTTTTGGAGAACTTTTCAGGTACAGGGAAAAACACAGTTGTTTTATTTTTAGATGGGATTTCTTATTAATATTGAACGATATGGAATTCGTGGTCTTAGTTTTTTTTGGATCAATCAAAATACTTCACATTCACAAACCAGGTTTCGTGTTCTTATATTCTCACTGTAAGGTGTTCGTTAGTAAAAGGCGACAGAAATAACTGAGTTCATTCTTTAAGTTAATTAGCACTGGTCAGACATGTGTACTTTTGATTGTGATAAAAATGATGCTTTCCGGAGGATTCGATCTCTTGTCCCTCAGTCTCACATTTACAGACGTTGACACTCAACAACTCGGGCAGTGATTGACCTACTTTAGCACTGAGACATATCTACAACTAATTGATCATTAGGTAATGACCAATATCATGTTTGTCCGATCCTTTTTAGCGGTGATCAAATTCTATCTATCAAGTTTTGATGTAGTCACTAGTCTATGTGAATTATAATGAGGATTCAATCAGCACAAAGAAAGACTTGACATACGTCACACTAATCACTACCCAGTGATCAGTCAATTGTAAGTATACTCTAGCTTTTCAAAGAAACATGGGATACAAGAAGAAATTAGTCATAACTATTTTCAGTGTTTCTGTTTATACATCATAATTTTAATCTATTCATGTTATATTATAGATATCATAGAATATCTAAACTCCTGGGTAAAAATAACCTACAAAATTCCGTTATAGAAACTAACTAGTGTTGTGAACAAAATCATGAGTGAGGACAACCGAATGTGTTTTACCACAACATTACAGAATATCTCATTAGAATATGAGAACCATAGAGTGAATAGTTAATTTGCAAACTATCAATCAATTGTCTCAATCTTCACTGTTTCTTCTACAAATATCCATCCAAGGTCTCCCACTATATAATTGTCCATGCATTTTCGTATCAATTGCTTGCCGTTCCCATTCACTCTTTATCGATCTTCTACTGAAATACATTCAATGCCTGACCATCACCATATACTACTTATGTGGATATCAGTAACCCATACCACACTAGAATTTAATTCTTGATAATACATTGTCCAGCCCTGATTTAATACTGTAATCCGAACTGATCAATTCAAAAATATGTGACTTTACAATATGAATTATACTTTTCGTAGTTTTGTTTTGTTTTCATTCTCTTAGTATTGTTTGTTTGAATCTTCTCATTGATGCTTGGAACTAAAACTAGTCAGATTTTAAATGGCATATGTGTATACTGTGTGTAATGCCTCGATATTGCCTTAATTAACAATACTAAGTGAATGTAAACTTCACCCCATTGCACTAATAAGTGACTATCAGAACTCAGTAGCTGAGTGGATAACACGATGGCAGTTGAAGCGAAAAGTACTGGGTTCGAGTCCAAGAGTGAACATCAACTCTGAGATGCAGGTACATCCTCCTGACGAGTCCCAAATAGGATGAAACATGCGTCCTGGATTCCATTGTTAGATACTATCCATATTTGCTTTATTTCGTTTCGTTTTTTTTCACTTGTAACAATATTTTTGACCAATTAATTTGTTTGACATTCATCCCCCCCTCCATAAATCTTTTTTTTCTTTTTTACATTTTATTTACCTAATGTAAAAATAATTAATTTCGTCTGTGTTTTTTTTATTTCCTTTTGTTGTTTTTTTTTTGTAATTTTAAAATCAAAAAGTGATTTTGTTTAATTTTTTTGAAAAAAAAACAGGAGTAAAACGAAAAAAAATTATTTTTTAAAAAAAAAACAAAAAAAAAGAAAAAAAACTTTTTAGTGTAAAACTGAAGAACAAAGAACGATGATGAATTTTGAGACTTGATTGTTATGAATTTCAATTTTATTTTTGTTTTTTTTAAAATTTATGATATCAATGTAAATCAATAAATTGTGCACAAGTTTAAAAAAAAACATTTAAATAAACTTCTTTGGTTTCTATGTGTATAGAATTCAATTTTTTTTTAGATGAACCGATGAATCGATTAAAAATGAAAGTTTTTTTTTGTGAAAAAGGGAATACAAAATAAGAAACCAGGGCAGTTACTTAGCAACTATCTTTGGAAATACTTTAAAAAATATATATATATAGAATAAATAATCCTATGGAATCAATTATTTTTATTGTAGTTAGAAACTAATTATCATCAGAGGGGAGGCTCAAGACTGGTAGGTTCTGTGTTCGAATCTCGCGAGTGGATGAGCACTGCTGAAAAGTCTCATAATGGGATGAAACGGTCGTCCAGTGCTTCCCGGTTTTCCATGGTGGTCTAACTTTAATTGACTCATGAATTCAACTGCGAAAATTTTAATTATCATCAGTCGATATGATAATAATTGATTAATGAACCAATCAGATTTAAGAGAATAAGTCTTGAATTTTAGCAAGAAATTCATTTACTGTTATAAACGTATAACAATCGTTATTGTATATGAAACGTGCAATGATACAGAAAATACGTACGAGCAGTCTTGATTGCTATTCGGTCCTTCCTAACTGCCTAGCCCAGCCAGTTGAGTCCAGAACACAAATAACAGCCTCGGTAATATGAATCATTATTCACAAGCACACTGGGTTATATATACTAACCAAACAGACCCAATTATACCAAAAAATAGAAAAATAACATTTGTACAGTAATTGGCCAATGTGGCTATGGATAGGGGGAAAGTAATCAATAATAATAGTTCAAAGGTCAAAATAAGGTTACGGTAAGAGGAACACGAATACAATTAGGTCAGTTATTTAACAACTAAACAATAGGAATTAGGCATATTACCTTTGTCCATAATAGACCTCAGATTTACCATTCATGATTCACCAGGGGATATAACACCTCCCCTTTTTGAGAAATCCGGAGTTGATAACCGGATTTTAAATTTCTCGAATCCACCCTCCCCCACGAAAGACTGTTGGATCCTCATGTAGCCAAGTTACTATTAATGCGATATGTTTGTCACATTTAACAGGGAATGCATTAGAACTGACGAGATCATGAGGATCGATGACATTTGATTCGAGGTCACCAACATTTGATTCTTCTGAAATAGTTTCCTTGAATTCCCTCGGAACCTCATTAGTAGATAATGAATCATTAGGATAATCAGTATCTATGAGAGTTGTATTGGATTCTTGATTATCATTTAATACATTCGATATTTTTCTCACATTTTTATAAGAGATTTGAACAGGAACATATGAATCAGCGAAATAATCGGGATCTGGCAGAACAATTAGATAATTTTGATCATTAGATTCATTAGAAAAATTTTTCGTATCATGAATAATTTCATTTGGCGCCTCTGTATTCAATATACTGCTCGATTTGCTTCCCATTTCTTCGTGGGCGGGTACTGCATCAATTTCATGAGCATTTGACATGGCATCATGTTGCTGAGAGCTGGGAGCATCACTGTTCGGACCTGCTAATTCAGGGATAGTGGTGTTTGAATCCACTACCGGGCACGTTTCTGAAATGGATAGTGCTGGACAACCGGGCGTCTCTTGAGAGACTGCTGTTTCGTTTGAGTTGCGGCTGCTCGAGGATTCATGGAGGCTGTGATCATTTTCCAGTTCTGCGTGAAATTCATTGATTAATCCATCCACTTCCGACGCGTATGCAAAGCATTGGTGATCCAGAAGCTGTGTGCGTAGTTTGACCATGAACTCCAAATGTCGGTCAAATAGCAACTGCAATCGGTCAGAAGGGAGCGTCATTTTTCACTTTTTTTTGTCCCCGTCGCCAATTGTTATAAACGTATAACAATTGTTATTGTATATGAAACGTGCAATGATACAGAAAATACGTACGAGCAGTCTTGATTGCTATTCGGTCCTTCCTAACTGCCTAGCCCAGCCAGTTGAGTCCAGAACACAAATAACAGCCTCGGTAATATGAATCATTATTCACAAGCACACTGGGTTATATATACTAACCAAACAGACCCAATTATACCAAAAAATAGAAAAATAACATTTGTACAGTAATTGGCCAATGTGGCTATGGATAGGGGGAAAGTAATCAATAATAATAGTTCAAAGGTCAAAATAAGGTTACGGTAAGAGGAACACGAATACAATTAGGTCAGTTATTTAACAACTAAACAATAGGAATTAGGCATATTACCTTTGTCCATAATAGACCTCAGATTTACCATTCATGATTCACCAGGGGATATAACATTTACTCAGTTGATTAAATTGTGATGTGTGTTACTGATATCCATATAAGTAGTATATGGTGGTGGTTGGGTATTGAATGTATTTCAGTAGAAGATCGATAAAGAGAGAACGGGAACAGCACGCCATTCGTACGAAAATGCATGAACAATTATAATTGAAGATTATGGATGGATATTTGTAGAAGAAACAGTGAAATTAAGAAAATTGATTGTTATTTTGAAAAATTAACTATTCACTATTTGGTTCACATATTTTAATGAGACATTCTGTAATGTTGTGCCAAATTACATTCGATTGTCTCCACAGTCGTGTTCTTGTTCAATGCAAATTATCATTCTAGCATTATAGTTGACTTTAATTCGTGATGAAAACATTCAATCTCATTCGTAATCTTAACGTTTAATAGAAAATCATAATCTTTATTCTTCATACTAAACTATAGCCCTCATTTAACCCTAATAAATAGGTGGGCATTTACAAAGTCAGTTTGATGTTGCTCAAAGACCATCCATAAATTGTTCAGTTGTACATTCTATAAAGCATATTTGAATGAGAATATATCATAACAGCTAGCTCTGTGAAATATTTAAAATGAATAAATTAATTATGATAACTTCCTTTCAGGATAAACTTTTAAAAATATGGTTTAAGTAACCAAAGATGGATGGTGGCTAGCAAAAGAATTTAGGATGTGTCCTAATTCGTCCTAATTGGTCTTCATCGGCTGGATATACCTGCATCTCATAGTTTATGTTCACTCCTGGAATCAAACCCGGTACCGTTCGCTTCAATGACCATCGTGTTATGCATTCAGCTACTTAATTCTCCCTAGTCACTTGGTTATGCAATGGGGTGAAATGAATTTATGTTTTAAATAAATTTAATTTGTAGACATATTTAAATGATGTTCTTAATTTTTATATTGTTTGACATGAAATACAAAAATATACTAATTTATATCAGAAAAGGTTTTTATGGATATTATAGAAAATTTAATAGTTCAGATCAGAGCCAATTGAAGCTAGATCACCATGGAAAACACTGAAGCATTGGACGGACGTTTCGTCCTATTGTGGAACTCATCAGCCGTGCACATCCATGATCCAGCCCCTACAAGATTCAAACCCACGTCCTGTCAGCCTCACGCGCAAACGCCTATCCTCCAGTGCTTCCAGGTTTTCCATGGTGGTCTAGCTTCAATTGACTCATGATTTAAACTACTAAAATATTAATCTATAACTATAAAATAATCATTTAATCACATACCTGAGTTCCGATTTTTTCGTACTGATATAAATTCTCTGAATTTCCTAGAAAATGATAGTCAATTAAAAGGAGAAAAAGGATATTTCATTTACAAATGATTTTTTAAAAAAAGTCAATTTATTCTTATACTCACTACAGTACAGTAAAAGTGTTATCCAGACAGGCTTCATTATAAAAATGAAAACATTTTACATGATACTACTGAATTTTATTATATAAGTAGTATAATAATAGTTACAAAAACATTCTATCATTTGAATTCAAACAAACTAAATCCGCTGAAATAAGACAAGGAATGGATTATTTGAAGTGATGGAAATTACGTAACATATATGTGTGTATATATGCATATAAACTTGAATTTGAAATTTTTAGTAATGGGCACCCATTTATTCACTTGTGTTCAAAACAATGACCACAAGGTCATTCAGTATGAGTTTAACGTTCAGATCATTGTGTTAGCATCAGAAGTTTTATTTCTTTAACTAGTTGATAGTTACATTCTGCTACTCGTTGAACACGAAGTCTATCACCACACAACTTAACATTTATGGAAATAAGATTTAATACATCTGATAACAGATGTCTTAGAAATATTGCTCGCATCTACTGGGATCACAAAGGGTAAGTAATATTGAGGTTAGATACAGGGTATTCATGAATGATGATAAATCAGTTGATGAGGTGATGAAACTTCATCGACTGAGATGGTTGGGACACGTGTTTCGTATGCCTCAAAACCGGATACCGCTACGCGCTATGCTGACTAGTGTAGGGGATGTTTGTAAGAGAGTTAAGAGCGGCCAAATCAAAACATGGCATCAGAGCTTGAAGTCACTAACTTCTAGTCTGAACCATGTTGGTAGATGCAGACTACCTGTTTGGGGTCCGCGTGACTATAGTAACCAATGGTTGGAGACTCTGTGTGACATGGCTCAGAATCGATCACAATAGCGTAGGTGTATACACTCATTATCTTCCCTTAAACCTTGAGATTAAAATTGCTTCATAACTTTCTTTCTTCCTGTACCATATCCTTATATGCAACCTTTGTTTACATACTACCACCACTAAATTAATTACTTCTATGAATTCGGTGTTGATCTTGTTATGCTAACGACGTATAGCAACTTGGACCGATGCATAAATGTGCCTGGTTCTACGTTGTATCTGACTGAATGACTGACATGTGACTAAAATTTTTCATATCAAATAAAATATAATGAACAGTATGAAACATCTATTTCACAATTAAGCTACTCTTCTCATTTCGTGCATATTAATTCTAAAATAACTGAAAACAACGGCCATCCAGTGCTTCCATGTTTTCCATGATCGTCTAGTTTCAATGGATTCATGATTTCAACTATATAAAATTACTAAAAATGTTCATAAACTTCTTTCTGTAACCCATTCAATTGAATTTATGATAATATACTTTTTCATAGTTAAAAGCATGAGTCAATTGATGCTAGACATACAATGAAAACCTGGAAGCACTGAATGATAGTTTCGTCCTATTGTGGAACACCTCATCAGTGCGCATCCACGATTTCGCTTCGCAAGAATCAAACCCAACTCAATGGACTTATGCTTTCAACTATGAAAATAGTTAAAATCTCCACAAAACCCCTTTCTGAATATATATTTTTTTATCAGAAGGGGTTTTGTGGAGATTTTAGTGTTTTTATAGAGTTGAGATCATGAGTCAATTGAAGCTAGACTACCATGGAAAACCTGGAAGCACTGGACGGCCGTTTCGTCCTATTATGGGACTCCTCAGCAGTGCGCGTCCACGAACCCACTCTCGCGGGATTCGAACCCAGGACCTACCAGTTTCGAGCCGAAGCCCTTAACCGATAGACCACTGAGCTGGCATCCAACGGTGTTAATTTCTAACTTCAACTGATTCACGAAATTGAGCAACCATTCACCAATGTCATCAGTGAGTTCCTATCTCACAACAGACCTGGTTGAACTCCACCGGTTACTGCTTCTCACTAGAACTCCAGGAAATACCTCAAGGAGTCAGTCACTAGTGAGCACCTGATTATTATCAGAAGGGGTTTTGTGGAGATTTTAGTATTTTTATAGAGTTGAGATCATGAGTCAATTGAAGCTAGACTACCATGGAAAACCTGGAAGCACTGGACGGCCGTTTCGTCCTATTATGGGACTCCTCAGCAGTGCGCGTCCACGAACCCACTCTCGCGGGATTCGAACCCAGGACCTACCAGTTTCGAGCCGAAGCCCTTAACCGATAGACCACTGAGCTGGCATCCAACGGTGTTAATTTCTAACTTCAACTGATTCACGAAATTGAGCAACCATTCACCAATGTCATCAGTGAGTTCCTATCTCACAACAGACCTGGTTGAACTCCACCGGTTACTGCTTCTCACTAGAACTCCAGGAAATACCTCAAGGAGTCAGTCACTAGTGAGCACCTGATTATTATCAGAAGGGGTTTTGTGGAGATTTTAGTATTTTTATAGAGTTGAGATCATGAGTCAATTGAAGCTAGACTACCATGGAAAACCTGGAAGCACTGGACGGCCGTTTCGTCCTATTATGGGACTCCTCAGCAGTGCGCGTCCACGAACCCACTCTCGCGGGATTCGAACCCAGGACCTACCAGTTTCGAGCCGAAGCCCTTAACCGATAGACCACTGAGCTGGCATCCAACGGTGTTAATTTCTAACTTCAACTGATTCACGAAATTGAGCAACCATTCACCAATGTCATCAGTGAGTTCCTATCTCACAACAGACCTGGTTGAACTCCACCGGTTACTGCTTCTCACTAGAACTCCAGGAAATACCTCAAGGAGTCAGTCACTAGTGAGCACCTGATTATTATCAGAAGGGGTTTTGTGGAGATTTTAGTATTTTTATAGAGTTGAGATCATGAGTCAATTGAAGCTAGACTACCATGGAAAACCTGGAAGCACTGGACGGCCGTTTCGTCCTATTATGGGACTCCTCAGCAGTGCGCGTCCACGAACCCACTCTCGCGGGATTCGAACCCAGGACCTACCAGTTTCGAGCCGAAGCCCTTAACCGATAGACCACTGAGCTGGCATCCAACGGTGTTAATTTCTAACTTCAACTGATTCACGAAATTGAGCAACCATTCACCAATGTCATCAGTGAGTTCCTATCTCACAACAGACCTGGTTGAACTCCACCGGTTACTGCTTCTCACTAGAACTCCAGGAAATACCTCAAGGAGTCAGTCACTAGTGAGCACCTGATTATTATCAGAAGGGGTTTTGTGGAGATTTTAGTATTTTTATAGAGTTGAGATCATGAGTCAATTGAAGCTAGACTACCATGGAAAACCTGGAAGCACTGGACGGCCGTTTCGTCCTATTATGGGACTCCTCAGCAGTGCGCGTCCACGAACCCACTCTCGCGGGATTCGAACCCAGGACCTACCAGTTTCGAGCCGAAGCCCTTAACCGATAGACCACTGAGCTGGCATCCAACGGTGTTAATTTCTAACTTCAACTGATTCACGAAATTGAGCAACCATTCACCAATGTCATCAGTGAGTTCCTATCTCACAACAGACCTGGTTGAACTCCACCGGTTACTGCTTCTCACTAGAACTCCAGGAAATACCTCAAGGAGTCAGTCACTAGTGAGCACCTGATTATTATCAGAAGGGGTTTTGTGGAGATTTTAGTATTTTTATAGAGTTGAGATCATGAGTCAATTGAAGCTAGACTACCATGGAAAACCTGGAAGCACTGGACGGCCGTTTCGTCCTATTATGGGACTCCTCAGCAGTGCGCGTCCACGAACCCACTCTCGCGGGATTCGAACCCAGGACCTACCAGTTTCGAGCCGAAGCCCTTAACCGATAGACCACTGAGCTGGCATCCAACGGTGTTAATTTCTAACTTCAACTGATTCACGAAATTGAGCAACCATTCACCAATGTCATCAGTGAGTTCCTATCTCACAACAGACCTGGTTGAACTCCACCGGTTACTGCTTCTCACTAGAACTCCAGGAAATACCTCAAGGAGTCAGTCACTAGTGAGCACCTGATTATTATCAGAAGGGGTTTTGTGGAGATTTTAGTATTTTTATAGAGTTGAGATCATGAGTCAATTGAAGCTAGACTACCATGGAAAACCTGGAAGCACTGGACGGCCGTTTCGTCCTATTATGGGACTCCTCAGCAGTGCGCGTCCACGAACCCACTCTCGCGGGATTCGAACCCAGGACCTACCAGTTTCGAGCCGAAGCCCTTAACCGATAGACCACTGAGCTGGCATCCAACGGTGTTAATTTCTAACTTCAACTGATTCACGAAATTGAGCAACCATTCACCAATGTCATCAGTGAGTTCCTATCTCACAACAGACCTGGTTGAACTCCACCGGTTACTGCTTCTCACTAGAACTCCAGGAAATACCTCAAGGAGTCAGTCACTAGTGAGCACCTGATTATTATCAGAAGGGGTTTTGTGGAGATTTTAGTATTTTTATAGAGTTGAGATCATGAGCCAATTGAAGCTAGACTACCATGGAAAACCTGGAAGCACTGGACGGCCGTTTCGTCCTATTATGGGACTCCTCAGCAGTGCGCGTCCACGAACCCACTCTCGCGGGATTCGAACCCAGGACCTACCAGTTTCGAGCCGAAGCCCTTAACCGATAGACCACTGAGCTGGCATCCAACGGTGTTAATTTCTAACTTTAACTGATTCACGAAATTGAGCAACCATTCACCAATGTCATCAGTGAGTTCCTATCTCACAACAGACCTGGTTGAACTCCACCGGTTACTGCTTCTCACTAGAACTCCAGGAAATACCTCAAGGAGTCAGTCACTAGTGAGCACCTGATTATTATCAGAAGGGGTTTTGTGGAGATTTTAGTATTTTTATAGAGTTGAGATCATGAGTCAATTGAAGCTAGACTACCATGGAAAACCTGGAAGCACTGGACGGCCGTTTCGTCCTATTATGGGACTCCTCAGCAGTGCGCGTCCACGAACCCACTCTCGCGGGATTCGAACCCAGGACCTACCAGTTTCGAGCCGAAGCCCTTAACCGATAGACCACTGAGCTGGCATCCAACGGTGTTAATTTCTAACTTCAACTGATTCACGAAATTGAGCAACCATTCACCAATGTCATCAGTGAGTTCCTATCTCACAACAGACCTGGTTGAACTCCACCGGTTACTGCTTCTCACTAGAACTCCAGGAAATACCTCAAGGAGTCAGTCACTAGTGAGCACCTGATTATTATCAGAAGGGGTTTTGTGGAGATTTTAGTATTTTTATAGAGTTGAGATCATGAGTCAATTGAAGCTAGACTACCATGGAAAACCTGGAAGCACTGGACGGCCGTTTCGTCCTATTATGGGACTCCTCAGCAGTGCGCGTCCACGAACCCACTCTCGCGGGATTCGAACCCAGGACCTACCAGTTTCGAGCCGAAGCCCTTAACCGATAGACCACTGAGCTGGCATCCAACGGTGTTAATTTCTAACTTCAGGTTTTCCATGGTAGTCTAGCTTCAATTGACTCATGATCTCAACTCTATATAAATATATTTTTTTGTTTTCTTTAATTATTTTCAGAGATATCACTTTACTAAATATATAATTTATGAAGAATCTACTTTCAGGATAGATCAATTATACACATACACCTACATTCATGAATATAAATCAGTTAAAGGTGAAAGATGGAATAGATTTTTTGTTTTATTTTTAAAAGAATAACAATCACTTACACACACACACACAGAGGGTAAACACACAAACATGCATAGTAACAAACAAATACCCACAATGATATCATAAAATGAAATTTAACAAAATTTTCATTTCACATAACATAGTGACATGAAAGTAAATGACATTTGTTTAATATTTATAAGTGTGCGTAATTCATTCACATATATATAGAAATATGCAAAATTATGAAAATAAATCTCCAAAACACCCCCCCTTCTGATAATGATCATATGTAAACTAGTGACTGAAGGCTTGATGTGATCCGCAAAACTAGAAGCCTGAACAAATTACAGAAGCTATTTTCGGGGACGTTAATTAATTTAATTCAAAGCTTGTAAAACTGTAAGATTTACATTTAACCCTAGCCTATTCTACAGATCATAAGCTTTCGTTTGATATATAATTCATTGCCATAGCATTTTCTGTTCCAAAGCTATTTTAATTTGGACGTAATCTTTTGTACTCTATTTTCTACTATAATTCCCCAGTTTTGGACATGATTGTATTTTTCTGATTGTTGTACGTTGTGGTCCGCTTAGTCATTTATTTATTCATGTAACTTTTCACCCTAATCTGAATTGGGAATTCGAGTGCTAGATCGGGGTTGGGATAAAGTGATTTGTGTTCATGTTGTCTTTGTTTTCTCTCTCTCTCTCGTGCTTACCAGCCAATCAGGGACAGAATAGTTTTCGTCTCTCTACCCCTTTTTCGAACTCACGCATATTAGCCTCAAGGTTAAGCCTGTCAGCCTATCGTGTCAAGGTCTTAATCTACATTATACTCAGCACTAAGTGGGTAGACAGATTCAAGGACGTAACAGGGCCGTTTTGTCCTATTATGTCCTGGAAGTGACCAGTGGAGTTCAACCAGGTCTGTCGGGAGATATCAACTCACTAAAGACAATTGGTGCGTGCTTGTTTAATTTCGTGGATTGGTTAAAGTTAGACATTAATACCGTTGGATGCCGGCTCAATGGTCTAGAGGCGAAGCGATCGCGAGCGAGACTGGAAGGTCCTAGGTTTGAATCTTGCGAGGCGGGATCGTGGATCTGCACTGGTAAGGAGTCCTATACTAGAACGAAACGATCTTCCAGTGCTTTCAGGTTTACCATGGTAGTCTAGCTTCAATGGATTCATGATTTGAAATATAAAATTACTATAATCTTTTACTAGATTGATAGTGATGTTGAATGTTGACCTATTATATTTACTTTTAATTTTAAGAAACTATAAGTGGATTAAGAATAAAAGAATCTTTAGCTTGATAATTATCGTATTCAGAGGGGGTTTTGTGGAGAATTTAGTATTTTCACAGTTGAAATCATGAGTCAATTGAAGCTAGACCACCATCGAAAACCTGGAAGCACTGGACGGCCGTTTCGTCCTATTATGGGACTCCTCAGCAGTGCGCATCCACGAACCCGCTCTCGCGAGCGAGATTCGAATCCAGGACCTACCAGTCTCGAGCCGAAGCCCTTAACCGATAGTCTGTTGTAGAGATATCATCTCACTGAAGACAATTGGTGAACGGTCGCTAAATATCGTGGATTGGTTGAAGCTAGACATTAACACCGTTGGATGCCAGCTCAGTGGTCTATCGGTTAAGGGCTTCGGCTCGAGACTGGAAGGTCCTGGGTTCGAATCTCGCTTGCGGGAGCGGGTTCGTGGATGCGCACTGCTGAGGAGTCCCATAATAGGGCGAAACGGCCGTCCAGTGCTTCCAGGTTTTCGATGGTGGTCTAGCTTCAATTGACTCATGATTTCAACTGTGAAAAAATTATCGTATTGTAAATAGTTTTTATAATGTTCATGTTTTCAGATTGTATTTATCATAGACTTATCTCAGTTGGATTAGCACAGGGAAACAGTAATCTTTACTGTTCGTTTGTTCCAAATTTGAACTCATCAATGGACACCCCTTTTATTCATCAGACTTCAAAGTAAGGACCTCAAGGTCACTCGCTATGTGTTTAACCTTCAGACCGTTGAATTAGCTTCTGATAGCTTATATCTCTAACATCAGTCAACTAGCAGCATGATGTATTTTATGTATTAATCGCAAAGACTTTCTTGTACCTCTTCATTTCCAAGCCTTTACTGCATAAATTACGGGATAGATAATATTTTGACCAATGATCTCCAGTCTTTTTGATGAGAACTATATAGTAGTTCAAAACAGTTATATGGTGCTTCTTGGTTTTTAGAGGATAACTAACTATGGACGGTTCACAATATCAATATTATTTTTAATTACCTATCTTTTCTTTAAAAATTGCTTGCCAACGAAATTTGACAATCTTCGCAACCCTTTATTGCCATCTATAATATGCTCATTAGTGACCAGTCCTGAAAGGCAATTCCTGGAGTTTCACTGAGAATCCGTGAACAGTAGAGCAAATCTGTGCAGGGTGTGAGGCAGTTAACTAACTGAAACAATGGAAGATGGTCACACAGTATCTTAAATTGATTGCAATTAGATGTCAACACAGTTTGATGTAGAATCAATGGTCTAGAAATTAAGCGTTTGTGAGCGAGATCGAAGGTCCTAGGTTCAAGTCCTGCATGAGGAGTCGTGGATGGAAATTGCTGAAGACTCACATATTAGCGCGATATGGATGTTCAATGATTCCAGGTTTTCAATGGTGGTCTAACATAAATCACTTCATGATTTCAATGAAATTCGAAAAACAGGGGGTTCATATGTATATACCACTTCTTGCATATACTATATTAGTATTTTTTTAGATATACACATTAGATTAAATGAACAAAAACTGAATCAGTTATTACTGTTACAGGTTGTATTACATTTATCTCAAATAAGATCCTACACAACATTTGGTAATAACATTAAACTTACTTTCCCTGCTCATGTAACACAGTGACTGAGTCAATAACATTGGCTTTCAGTTCATCCGTTGATGTTAATTCATTGTCTACAGACTCTTTAATTGTTGGCTGTCTAGTCTCTGATTTCATCAGAAATCTACACTCATCTTCTGATGAAATCTAAAATACAAAATATAAAATTAATATTTATGCCTTTATTCACTACAATAAACTTTGGTACAAATTACTTACTTATCTACTTACGCCTGTTACTCCCAATGGAGCATAGGCCGCCGACCAGCATTCTCCAACCCACTCTGTACAAATATTACAGCAAATTTTCTAATATATACATCCAAAGTGTAATTATTCAACACATATTTTAAAATTACAAGTAAGGGTTAATAGTGGCTAAAAGTGAAATTAAGGACACACCTCTCGTCCTGTTTATGATACGTTAGCTCGATATACATGTATCTCAAAGTTGATGTTTACTCCGGTACATTCAGCTGACGAGTTCCAAATAGGATGAAATGTGCGTCATGGATTTCACTGCTAGCCACCATCCATCTTTTGGCATAATTCTTGTGACTTAAGGCAATATAGAGGCAATCCGCACAGGATGCACATATACCAACAAGAAACTGATCAACTGCAATCTTAAACATCGATGCAAAGATTCAAACAAACAATACAAAATGAATTAATCCTTTAAAATTGTCTTTAACTCTCAATAACCAATACCTTATTACAATTATGAAAGTTTTCTACCAGTTCAGCTGCTACAATAAATTTTTTCCCATCATATAAGGTGTTTCAAGCTTCTAGTATTTAGTGTCACAGCAAGAAGTGACCTTACAGTTAGTATCCATAGTTACACATTGAAAACAAATTTAAAACAGGCAGGTTAATTGCAATATTTTGGCACTTAATGATGATAATAAAGGCCTTGTAAGCTAAATATGAAGATAGACCACCATAGAAAACCTGGAAGCACTGCTGAGGAGTTACATAATAGGACGAACTGGCCGTTCAGTGCTTCCAGGTATTCCATGGTGGTCTAGCTTCAATTGACTTATGATTCCAACTATGAATAATACTGAAATATCCACAAAACCTCTTATGATAAATATGAAGAATTGTGCTATGCATAATGAACTTTAAAATATGGGAACGCAGTTTTATTCATATGAGATCATGTGTGTTGTTCAGTTTCTTTTATTAAAAATGATAAAATGTAACAATCAAAGAGACGTATAATGAACAAATAATGAGTAGTTGGTTGTAGATAATCGAAAGAAAACACGGAACCTATGCGTAATGCTATTCGGCATTCGTCAGCAAGGAGTACCTGTATGCTTGAGAGAAAGTGATAGTGCCTAGCAGATTCGACCCTTTGTCATTCAGGTTTACAGTAAAAGACGATAACAATGAGCTTTCCAGGGCGCGAACTTACATCATAACAAAGTATACGTGATGTCGATTTACCTAGACTACTGGGAATATTACAACGTGACCGATAGAATTCGATCCGTACTATAAAGGACTTAATATAAATGACACAAACAACTACCCAATGATCAGTCATTTATAAATGAAAAGGTGATCTTAACATATTTAAGTAATTGGAAAAAAATTTATTAGCTGATCAGTTATTTACTGATGACGGATAATCCATTATGTTAGCGTATCGGTTCAAGCTATGACAAATTACATCAATGAAATGATTGTAGAAACGAATAACAACACCACATCCAATTGATACACAATAAAAGACCTATTCATATAAATTCAATTACAAAGGAGAATAGTGTTAACAGGGAGTAATTATACAACTCAGTGAACAAGTAATCTTTGCTTGTTGTGATATTTTGATTTTACAATATTGTATATTGTACTAATACATTAAGTTACTGATCAATCAATGCTAACTGCTACCCAGTTTGGATTTTTTTTTTACAAATATGGTTGAAGTTAAACATTAACACCGTTGCATGCCTGATCAGTTGTCTATAGATTAAGAGTTTGAGCGTGAGACCGAAGTTCCTGGGTTCGAGTCCCGATTAGGGATCTTGGATGTGCACTGCTAAGGAGTTCCATACTAGAACGAAATGACTGTCAGTGCTTCCTGGTAACATTCCCATTTAAAAGTTGTTTATACAGACTTATTACATAAACCAATATTAATAATGAAGAATTTATAATGTTGAGTTATGAAGATTGTTTGAGTAGATACCTTAATCCCATTTTTGTAATAAATGCAATTTGTTTTTTCAACTTTATATTTTCAAGTTGATTTTATTCTAGGCAAATTAGATAGAAGCAACAGCCTTCTATGGGAGAGGACAAACCAGCTTCCAGCTGAAGAGGAAATTACAAAAAGACGTTAGAAGTGGATCGGACATACATTAAGGAAATCACAAGATAAGCCCTAACTTGAAATCTGAAAGGGAAGCGGAAAAGAGGAAGGCCAAAGAACACATTACACCGGGAAATAGAAGCAGATATGAAAAGGATAAATGTTAACTGGAAAGATCTGGGAAGGATTGCTCAAGACAGGGTTAGATGGAGAATGATGGTAGGCGGCCTATGCTCCTCCATGAGGGGTAACAGGTGTAAGTAAGTAAGTAAACAAAAATAGAAATTACTCATTATTATAGCTTAATAAACTTACCTCATTTAATTCTAAATTTGATTGATTATTTTCAGATTCTACAATGAAATCATTATTATTAGAGGTAGTAATAATGTTTGTTGCTTTGGTTGTTATTGTGTTATTATTCGTGGTAGTACTAGTAGTAGTAGTAGTAGGAGGAGGAGGAGGAGGAGGAGGAGTATTAGTAGTATTGGTAGTAGTATTGTTAGTACAAATGAAATTTCTTAATTGATTTAATAATTTCCATTCATTATTAGCAAAATTTTTTAATTCTTCATAGAAATCATCTACCGTTGAGGCTTCGAATATACACTGAAAGATAAACACATACATATAGAGAGTTGTATATTGAACATTATCAATACATTACAGTATAATGTAAATTTTAATAAACTATAAAAGTTACATTACTAAAGATAGTAATAAATGTTTGTATGGTGAAGAAGATTTGTAGTTCAGGTGGATGATTTCGATGGAGTTTTGTTCTTTGAACTGGATGGTTTTGTTCGTAGAGCTTTCATCATCCTTCTGAACGACATCATTCCAAAGTCTGTGCTCCACAACCAAACCATCGAGCTCAGAGAATAAATGTTTGTAGTCAAATTGATTATTGTTCTGCATAATACCTAGTGATCTATATCCACTTGTTGAACCTTCGTTAGTGACATTGATCGACTAGATAGAACCAAATTTTATGTAATAAGAATGAAACACTCTTTAAAAGTCTATAAACAATCATTTGCTTATTTACTTGTATAGTTTATCAATAACTAAACAAGCAAATCCTTTGATGGTTCCAGCAATTTGTACTCATACACCAGTTAGTTATAAAATCCATAACTAGAATGAAAATGAAATCGTGTTAGAATTCACTTTGCTACTCAACAAGTAAATGACTGAATATAAGGGTATATGGAAACTTTTGGAATTGCTTAGCTCAGTAGTCCAAAGGTTAAATATTTACGCCCGAGACAGCAGTTTAAACCTCTGATGGGAGAATCGTGGATGCAAACTATCATGAAGTTCCAGTGTCTCATCTTTTTCGATGGTTTTGTGATGGTTGAGAAGATTTGTAGCTCAGGTGAACCAATCAACATCGAGGTGCACAGGAGAAGCTGTGAATCACATGTGGAGAAATTAAAACACTTCTCTTCTACCCGAAATTTATGCTGATGATATCGTTCAGAAGGACAATGAAAACTCCACGACCAAACCATCTAGCTCAGAGAGCAAACCTACATCAAAATTTTTTAATGGTTGTTTAACAAGGGTCATTATATGATGTTACCAAATGAAACTGAAGTATTGTCTTGATTTAGCTAAAGACGAATCAAACTGATTTACACATATACAAAAATTTCTTTTTAACCCTCAGTCACATCTCTCCTAAAGTAACTTAAAGTGAAGAAGACAATTTTCTAACTTCTTCTGGATATGGAATTCAGTAATATAACAGTAGTATATCGAAAAAAACGATAAAAAAAAGAATATTGACTACCTCTTTAACTAATCAACTTCTGAATTAAAAAGATGGAATTTTTGTAAAATCCATTTAACATTGAATCCATGTACAAACTAACCAACAACACAAAAGAAAATCACATAAATCATAGTTCTATTATATATTCCTATGAGAATAATGAATGGCAACTGTTGGGATCTATATGTGAACTAATACGACACATATATTCTTGTTGTTAAGTACCTAGATTATGTATATTCATATCTCCTTCATTATAAGCTTTATTTTGACTGTTATTATAAGATTTTCTATCCTTAAGTTTTGCCCAGTTTATTAATTACAGTCTCCAACATTTACAGCCACTTCTTGACTTGATCTTGTACAAGTGTTATCGGTGGGACTAAACTTTATGGACGAGGCAATCAGAAGCTTTCGAGGGTTTTCAAGGTCACGGCGCTAAGTTCGGTACCTGATGCTTACGTACGATCGGTTTACAGCGGATTTTAGAGAAGACGTGATAATTCAGCGTCTACAAGAGAAGGGATTATTAATAAGTTCCTATACTTGTGACTATGGTACTCAAATGACCGCTGTACAGTGTGCATACTACGGTGATGAGATTATCTTTCGATGTTGTTCATGTTGGAAAAAGAAATCAGCTCGAACAGGAACTTTTTCCGCTCGATCACGATTAAGGCTAAGAAAATTATGATACTTGTTGCAAATTGGATAATAGAAGCACTTGCTACACTTGCTGCCACGTTTGCCGATGTAAGTGAATTTTCGGCAGTTCAGTGGTACGAGTATTGTCGAGATATTTGTGCAGCGAAATTGACAAGCTTACACCAAATGTATGGAGGAGTAGGGAAAGTAGACGAAACAGTAGTAAGGAAACGGAAATTCAACCGTGGCCGTAGTATTGAAGAAGATTGGGTAAGTACCTCTTCGATAAACATACCTCACATGTCCTTGGAATCTATGACAGATCATTACAAAAAGGACATTTCCAACGAATTAGGAACCGACAGGCATCAACAATAATACCGATTATACAGTAATATGTGCAGTTGGGCACTACGGTGTACACAGATGATTGGAGAGCACATAGATGCCTAAGTAGACTTGGCTACGTGCATGAAGTTGTCATCCACAAGCGCTGTTTTGTGGACCCTACAACTGGGGTGCATACCAACAACATTGGAGCTATGTGGTCGAGACAAAAAGAGATTTTGAGACCCTATCATGGCTCCAGAAGCCGACTACTATGGAGCCACATGAATGAGTTCCTGTACCGTATGCACTATGACTTTAGAACTTCTGACCCTATATCTAACCTTGAGAAGTTTTTGAGCCATGTAAAAGAACAGTATCCGCTTTAATTTTTTAGTTTTGTGTAATATATTTTTACTGTATACTAACTGTCTTCTGACTGGCTAACATTTCTCAAGGTTATTTAAGATTCGTTCAAAGGTCGTCCATAAAGTTTAGTCTCGCCGAGTTATCTCCTATTTTATAGTATTGTAGTGTGGTCTACTTATATATCCACATAAGTAGCATATGGCGATGATTAGGAATATAATGTATTTTGGCAGAAAGTCGATAAGGAAAGAACAGGAACGAAGCGCAATCGGTATGAAAATGCATGAAGATGGACTGATATTTGCAGAAGAAATAATCAGGATTGAGACAATTGATTGTTATTTTGCAAATTAACTGTTTATTGTATGATTGTCAGATTTTAGTGAGATAGTCTGTAATTTGTGCCTACATACATTCGATTGTCCCCACCCGTGAACTTGTTCACTACAAGTTGGCATATGTACGCTGCTAAAATTTGTAATGGCCTTTGCTATCTCACAAATATAGTCTAAACACACATTACTTTTCAACTTATTGTAGGAAGATAGCTATAAGTTTAACTACTTACACAATCATCACACTTATCAGATATTAAGCATTCAGTAACTGAGGCTAAATGTTAAACATTTGATTTGATATATATTGTCAGATTACTCCATTTTTATCAGAAAAGAGATTTTGTGGAGATTGTAGTAATTTAGTAGTTGAATTCATGAGTCATTTCAAGCTAGACCATCATGGAAAACCTGGAAGTACTGCATGGTCGTTTCGTCCTAGTATAGGACTCCTAAGAGGTGTGCACCCATAATCTCGCTAACGTGATTCGAACCCAGGACATTAGGTTCCGCGCTTGAACGCTGAACCTCTGATGAAGAAACCCATACGAGGACTAAACGGCCATGCAGTTCTTTCATGTTTTCCAAGGTGGTCTAGCTTTAATCGACTAATAAATCTAACTATTAAATTATTCCATTCATAACTTATGATTCTGTAAAGTGAAAGTAACAATTAAAATGGAATATTTTACTTCATAATTAAATTTCATTATTCATCTATGATACATAAAGGAAAAGTCATATTATGGCAACCATCCTACAATCAATTTCAATTATGGTTGATTTTCTTTAAGCCCTTTTTATCAACTTATTTAACAGACATCGTCATTTGGATGGTAACAATTCGTATACATATCTTTATACTGTTATGATCACTAGTGCATATGACAGACTCTAGCCAAAACGTTGATTGGTTAAGTAACATTCGATGATTCATATTCCTCCCTCATATATGTATGCATGCAAATCCTATTATCAGCTTTTGTTTTGTTTTGCTGTACCCTTATTAAATTTGACTATAAATTATCTATATAATTGCTTGATACTCACTTGCTCGCTTGTTGATATTCGCTCAGGTTCTGTTAGTTTTCTAGCCTGAGTTCAGTCAGTCAGTTAGTCACAACGTAGAACTTCGTACGTACGTACATCAGTTCGAGTTACCATACCACATTAGCATAGAGATGTGGTTGTCCATTCAAATCCCATAGTCATAGAAGTAGTAAGAGTATAAGCAGTAATTCGAAAGATTAGAGTTTAAAGATTTTATTTAAGAAGTTTATTCCAATGAAATAAATTCGGAAAGAGAAAAAAAGAAAGGAATATGAAGAATTTAGAAGATTAGAATTTGGCAGAACACAAAGAGTGGATGCACCTTTGCAATTACAAACGACTTTGAGCCATGTCATTCAAGGTCTCTAACCATCAATTGCTATCATCTCGCGAATCCCAACCAGGTAATCTACACCTACCAACATGGCTCAGTCCACTTGTCAGTGACTTCATGGATTTGTGCCACGTTTTGGTCTGGCCACCCCTAGCTTTCTTCCACCCTACTTCTACACCACAAAACATTGCAAGTCGGGGTAATGAAGTTTCACTACTTCATCAATTGATTTGTCATCTTTACCTAGTACCCGTTTCCTAACAACTACATTACCTACTCGGTGGTCCCAGGATATACTAGCAATGCTTCGAAGACATCTATGATCGAATACTAGTAGCCTACGAATATCCTCTACTCTTATCGGCCATGTTTTACTACCATAATTAGGACGGAACGAACTGCTGCACAGTAAACCCATCCTTTGATTGCTAGACGGATATCTCACCTACGCCATAAATGTCGCAATTTATCGAGGTGAACGATTAACGAAGCACAGTACTACAATATACCATAAATACTAATTTTTTTTAATATAAAATTAATCAGAATCAACTTTAACAAATAGTCAGAAGGGGTTTTGTAGAGATTTCAGTATTTTCATGGTTGAAATCATGAGTCAATTGAAGCTAGACCACCATGGAAGACCTGGAAGTATTAGACGGTTAAGTGCTCTGGCGCGAGTCTGGTAGGTCCTGGATTCGAATCTCGCGAGGTGGGATCGTGGATGTGCACTGCTGAGGATACCCACAGTAAGACGAAACGGCCATTTAGTGCTTCCAGATTTTCCATGGTGGTCTAGCTTCAATTGACTAATGGTTTTAACAAATAGATTATGACAGAATATAACCATAATTTGATTTATGTTAATGAACAATCTAAATGTAAAACAATTAATCCCTTTGATAAATTTCGATAGTGTTATTAAAGAGACGAAGATTATCAAAATTAGGTGACATTTATATATTAGCGCAATACATTTCGAACAATCGGATCACACCTTATATACTTGTTAAGAACATTTATATATAACAATAAAAGGTCAACTGGACTTGAAATGGGAGGGGGGCAAGAATAGACAAGGATAATAATAATAATAATGTGAACACAATTTGTAACGTAATCCCTCTGGATAATAAGTTGATATTACCGGGGTATGTTTAAGGTGAGAACAAATTGTTTTCGAATACACAAAGAGGGGTGTGATCAGATTGATCGAAATGTATTCTGCTACCTAGTACGGATAATCTTCGTCTTCTTATTACATTATCGAAATCTAAATGTAGATAAGAAGTATTTTTTTAGATAAAAAAAACAGAACTGTAAATAGAATAACAAACTGAACTGCTACTTTTTATCAGAAGGGGGTATCATGGAGATAGTTTGGTTTTGGTTTGTACTTTTACAAGAGAGTGAAAGATGAAGAGAAAAATAATTACTATGATAAATTTGTAAATAAAATTAGGTCAAATAAGGTGAAATATACATATATATACTTAATAAAATGGGTGAAATCAGATACAATAATGAAGGTAAGCTAAAATAGTACCCCTAAGAAAATAGTCAACTATCATAAAGGAATGTCATTTATTCATCTTGATTCTGTTAACTGATATAAAAAGCTGGACTACCATGGAAAACCTCGAAGCACTGAACAACCGTTTTGTCCTATTGTGGGAATCCTCAGAAGCTATGAAAAATACTGAAATCTACATAAAAACCCCTTCTGATTATAATGATATGCTCACTAGTGACTGAATTCAAGAGACATTTCAGGGAGTTCTAGTGGGAAGCAGTGACCGGTGGAGTTCAAGCAGGTCTATTGTGAGATATTAACTCACTGAAGACAATTGGTGAATGGTTGCTTAATTTTGTGGATTACTGGAATTTAGACATTAACACCGTTGGATGCCGGCATCCACTGCGCAGTGCTGAGGAGTCCCACAATAGGATGAAATGGCAGTCCAGTGCTTCCAGGTTTTCCATGGTGGTGTAGCTTCAACTGATTCATGGTTCCACCTATGAAAAATTATTTGAAAAAGTTTAAATCTTCCCGTAGGGATAGAAATTTGATCCATCCTTATTGATATATGTCTGTACAGAGCAGATTGTCTTGATATTAGTGGCATTTCACAAGCATTTGTGATTTTTTTAGTGATTAGAAGTAAAATCAAAGAATCGCATTTCATTTTGTTTGGAACTCGTCAGTTAAATGTTCTCTTAGCTCAGAGAAAAAAACTCCATCAAAATCACCCACCTGAGCTACAAATCTTCTCCACCATCTCGAACTCAAAATTGTCTAGCTGGGAAAAAGTGCCTAGAGGAGTGTCAGTGCTGTTCCTCGTGTTTACAAACCTTCTAGTCTGCTATCACTATCAGTTTTATTATATGCTGACGATGTTAAGATATGGAGAGAGATAAGATGTGACCTTCCAAATGACCTGAAGAAATCATTTGAATGTTTTAAAATTTGACAGTTGGCAATAAAGGCTTCCATGTGGACTATGGTGCACATTGGTCACCAAGGTACAGATATGTACACAGTAAATAACAGTGAGCTATCTGTTGTGCAGCCACACGACGACTTAGTAGTCATCATTAGTCAAGATTTAAAAACGACTGCACACCGTCGTGCTATAGCCACAAAAGGTTTTAGAACCCTATGGTCAATACGTAGGGCCTTTAGTCATGTTCATTCTGAAACCTTTTTGACTTTTTATGAGGTATTTGTGAGTCCTAAACTCGAGTACTGCATACAGACGGCTAGATCCTCTCTAAACAGAGACAGTAAGCTATTGGAAGAGGTTCAAAGAACCATAGATAAACTGATTCCCGTTATAGCAAAGCTACCATATGATGATCGAATGGCTAAATTAAACCCATTTCCAGTGTCATATAGAAGAATCAGAGGCAACTTGATCACAGTTTCAAGTTACTTAGTGATAAATTCACATCCCTCATTTTCTTCGTCTTACAGAACAGAGAATTTACGAGGATACTCTCAAAAACTACACAAGCCTAGAACTAATTACTTGTCAGCTGACTATCGATTTTCCCATCGAATCATCGACGAATGGAATTCTTAAACTCAACATGTAATTGAGGATCGATCTGTCAAAGCTTTTAAAAGAAAGTTTGATCAACTGAGAGACCATCATCACCAGGACTAACACAAGCCATCTAGCCTCTTTTCCTTTCCAAACTGAAACTGAGAGTGAAACTAAAATGGCATGTTCAATGTACTGTTTTATCATATTACAAATGAATTGTAAGATTTTGCACAATGAAATAAATTAGTTTAATCTCAATTAGTCTTCGTTCATTACATTTGTACAGCTCAACAATATGTTGATTAGGATAGTTATACATATACCTTTTACAGTATAACAAGTAGAATAGACTCAAAACTTTAAGTAGTTAGTTACCAGTTCAGGGGCCTAATAGCCTCCATCTCTTTTCAAAAAAACAGTATGTTCAGTCTTCTATACCATGTATAGGCTTATATATGCTCATCGCCGTTCCAGATACTAACACAACAGTGGTAACATTATTTAAGGGTATCTGTTTTTTTCAAAACTGTTTTATGCTGTAATATTACTATCCAATTAAACATCTTTATTTAATAATCAGATCATATAAATAGTGATTTCATTACAGCATATTGATTTTTATACAATAAATCAATAATCTATCAGATCATTTCCGAAACACTGATACAGGCATAAAGTCTGATTGAATTTTGATCAATATTTAAATCATTGTTCAATTCTATAATTTAACTTTTTATGAAGGATAATTAAGTTTATTGATTATTTATCATGAATTGATTGTAGTTAAAAGGAGAATTTGATTATAATTTTTGAAAGTTTAATCTGGTAAGTTGAAATGAACTGATGTGAATAGCTTAATCAGAAGCCTTAACAGACCATGGAAACTATTTTTGGGGACGTTATTTCATTGAATTCAAAGCTTATAAAACTATAACATTTACTTTTGCCCCTAGTCTATTCTAAAGATCGTAAGCTTTCGTTTGATGTATGATTCACTATCATAGCCTTTTCTGTTCCAGAGCTATTGTAAACTACATTAGACAAGTTATACTCGGCATGAAAGTGGGTTAACAGATCAGGGACGTAACATTAACGTTGAGTTGTTCTTACTAATTATTCAATTATTTATTAAGTTTAGATTGATATTATGAATGGATCAGTGTTAGACTACCAGTGAAAAGCTGGAAGCACTGGACGGCCGTTTCGTCCTAGTACGAGACTCTTTTGAAGTGTGCAACCACGATCCCGCAAGCGGGGCTCAAACTCAGGACCATTAGTCTTGAGCGCTAACTCTCAATCTCTAGACCACTGCGCCGACATTCATTGGTGCTAACGTCTAACTTCAACCAATACACGACATTGAACGATCGTTTAATATTGTCTTCAGTTAGCGGCTACCTCATATTCGACACGGTTGAACTCTACTGGTCATGGTTTCACACTAGAACTCTTGGAAATCCATCTTGAATCCAGTCACTAATGAGCACATGATAATTATCAGTAATAGGGTTGTTGAGATCATTGATCTATTCATAATATCAATTTAAACTCAACAATCTCCACAACCCTATACTAGTAATTATTTATTCTCTGAAGTAAAAATATATACTTAGTCAAGAAACATCAAACATATAATCTTCTACACATTGGCGCATCATAAATATATTATAAAAATGTAAGCAAAAATGAATAGCGGCTAGCACTAGAATCCAGGATGAGCGTTTCGTCGTATTCGAGACTCGTCAATCGGATCTGTCTTCATCTCAAAGTTGATGTTCACTCTGGGACTCGAACCCAGTACCTATCCCTTCAAACGCCATCGCGTTATCCACTCGGCCACTGAGTCCTGATAGCGAAAGGTACTGGGTTCGAGTCCGAGAATGAAAATCAACTCTCAGATGCAGGTAAATCCAGCTGACGAGTTCCAAATAGGACGAAACGGGCGTTCTGGATTCCACTGCTAGCCACTATCCATCTTTGCTTACAATGCTTGTGAAATAAGGCTATATCGAGGCAATACACACAGTATGCCCGTATACCAATTACAGACTGACCAGTTGCAGTCCTAACACATAAATGGGAAGATTCAAACAAACAATACTAAATGAATTTATATTATAATTATGATTATGACAAACTGAGAATGATAAAAATTCGTATGAATACAGCATGACAGCATGCATTCATTTTCAGTATGTTGTTCAGATAAATCTAACACTTTCTTTGAATATACTACTACTACTACTTGAACAATCATAAACTTAACTATGAATCTCCTTTTGAAGTACTAAAAAAAAAACGCAAAACTGAATAAAAAATTTTCACGTCGATTTTTCCTCGAAGGGAGGTGGTGGTGATGAAATAGAACATAGTGAAAGTTAAGTAAGAAGACAAAATCTGTTGTTTGCTTACCTTATTACAACCAGATTTTAAAGCTTTGTTCATTAGTATTTTTCTTTGATCATTAGAGCTGTAAAAAAAATCGAATATAATAAGTGGGAGGAAGAATAATGTATCAAAATATCGGATAGAATGTTAGTATACTACATAATATACGTGTGTAGTTATATATTAGGACTATAGTCATTTGGATGTCGGCTCAGTGGTCTATCGGTTAAGTACTCTGGTGCGAGACTGGTAGGTCTTGGGTTCGGACCTTGAAAGCGCGGGACAGTGGAAGCGCACTGTTGAGGAGTCCCATAATAGGACGTAATGGCCGTCCAGTGCTTCCAGGTTTTTATCAGTGGTCTAGCTTCAATTGACTCATGATCTCAACTCTATAGTCATTTGAATTGCTTTCAGTTTGTTATAATATTCAGACTTTTAAGCAGTTATTTGGTAAGATAATTACTAGGCTGATTTGCCCACAATCACAATGTATAGTCTTGTTTTTTTGTTTCTTTTTTGAAGACTAGATGCTGAATCTTTAACTGCTGTCATAAAATGTGTTATTATTGACAACAGATTGTGAAGAATACTGGTCCTTGCTAAGTGTATTCGATATGATGGAATGAAAAAACAAACAGTACATTACCTTTTGCATTCATTAAGCTTTACATTCTGTTATTAAGACATGTGATTTTCTTTCAGTATAGCAATTATATTTATGATAACAGTTCAGATGAACCATATTCAGTGTATATTTTTAACCAGCAACTCTGCATTTTCACTTGTATGTGTTGATGTTGTAAGGCCAGTGAAATGTCACTGAACCCTAGCTAAATCATCCGGCAGTTGGGTCACTGATTATCGAACAGATCATCGATCCCTGTCAAGGTCATAGATAATCAACGCGCATCAGTTGATGATAAGCCATGTACTGGCCCATGTGGCAGTGGTTCTACTTTCGCTTGTATCTACTTTAACTAATATATTATTGTAATAACGTCCTTTGTGTTGTACAGTTTTCAGAGCATCCATGATCCCTTGATACGTCGATGGGAAAATCCACGTAAGGTGCTGGTCGCGAGGTGTGACTTCAGCGTTAGTTGGTTCGTCACCATTCTCGTCTAAATCTAGTAGGCCCCCAAGCATTCTACATAGACCATCAACGTTGATGGTCTACAATGTAAAATGTAGTAGATAAATGATTCCGTGTTGGTGTAATGAACAATGTGATTTAGAACGTGATTTTGAGACATGTTTGGAATCATGGTTTAGAGAGCCAACATATCTTTATTACATTAGTGATTCATATTCTTACTTTGTATCGTAGGAATTCCAGTGGCTCCTATTTCAAAGTATATGCAGTAGGATGGACTAATTGAAGTGGTTGACGATTGTCAAGTATGAATATTAAGACTGTGAACCCAATAGTATCAATATATACGGAACTGCGATGGCGTACGACTGAAAGTAACAGGGGTCGACCTCTCAGATGCAAAAACATTCGAGTAAATTAGGAGCAATTCATGATACTTAGACATTAAATTCACTTAAAGTTATCTAGAACGTTGTAAAAGTTTGTTCCTCAAGCAAGAGAGGCTGAGAGCCAATAATGTTCACGATGAATTGATCGTAAGTGGAAGCCGATTTTAGTCCATTTTAGTTATCGTAAGATATGAACAACCAACTGATAGATAACTTTGAATCTATTCTAAATGATAAATTTCTCTTTAACCAACTCTCACTACACTCAAAGTCTATTGATCAGGAAGAATAATAATGACACAAATTGGCAAACGTTTAAGCGGCTCTTCATTTTGACGCCAATCAGACAAGACGATGGTGTTATCGATAGACTCACCAATTTTAGTTGACTGTATCTGACTTCAGTTCGATCGTATAAATGATTATCATCGAAGTATATATATACCATCATCCCTCGTATATAATCATCGACATAAATCGCCATTAGTGAATAACAAAACTAAATAAGTCGAATTCGAAAATAAATATCGAATACGTATATTTCACATAATCGTTGGTCAGGACAGAAAATCAATGAAAATCAGAGAAGGCAATGAAGTGAAATGAAACGGCGCGCAGTGTAGAAGATGAGTGAGCCAACTCCATTTTACCAAGAATAAATCGATATTTGTAATCATAAAAATAAGCAATAGATACATGATGAATAGATTAAGTAATGAACACACACATATGATCGTATCAAAACGGACATGGTTAACAAGCTATTGAGTGACAGGTTTAAAATGTAGCTTGAGAAGAATGACTAAATTGGTTTGTTCAGAAGCTAGAATAGTCTATGTAGGCTTGACATAGTGCCAGCACCTACAAGCATACACATTATATGCGTACATCGTGTTAAATTACAGAGAACTTGAACTGGATTTCCAATCAACATTTATAAATAGTAATAACTCGACATAGTAACACTGTTTACAGTGTGTCAATGAATTCTACATCGAAATGAGCTATAAAGAGGGTTATTGGTACGATGAATTACGCATTGATATGTACGAGAACTATAAAAGTCGATTATATGTATATCGATGTTCCAATTTTTCAACAAACTATAAATCTACATAGTTGAAAGCATGAGACAGTTGAAGCTAGACCACTAAGGAAAACCTGTAAGCATTGGACGGTCATTTCGTTCTACTGTGGGACTACTCAGCAGTGCTCTCTCAAACAAGAAATGTCATAAAAAAATTTTAATTATTTTTTAGGTTACGTTTACTCTTTGACTGTATGGGATTTAGCTAGCTATTCCCCAGAATTCATCATCTTATTGAAATTATACAGTAAAAAATAATGCCTTATCTACGTATATATACTATAAGCAAATAATAACTCACCATTTCCGACCCAATAATCCTACAATAACTGAATCTTTTGTCGGTGGATAACTTCTAAGTTGTTTACACCAATTGCTCAGTGATGGACTAATGTTATTGTTACTGATAATGATTTCTCGGCATTGTGACGATCTGATACTGGGTATACTGAAAGACCCGTTTGACTTCAGTTTACGAAGATCCAATACAACCATATCAATAATCTGAATAGATCATATAGAAAACAGTGAATAGAAAAGTTTGCAAATTGTTTGATTTCAACAAGAAATTGTATTGAATCTTTTATTTTTACGCTGATTATGAAATAAGTAGTATTTCTTTACTTTAATAACTCTTCAAATAGTATAGTTCCGATGTCCTATGTCCTGAGAGATATATATTCATACAGTAATCAATCCTTGAGTAGTAATAACCAGTATATTGTACGGTTTTAAGTCCACAAAAGATAGTTAACGTTAGACATTAGGATAAGTGGTTATCCACATTGCTTAAGGTAAAATAATCCGATGAAAAGAAAGTGATGAAATTTTTTTTGAGATGGTGGAGAAGATTTATAGCTCAGATGGGTGATTTTGATGTAGGTATGTTCTCGGAGCTCCACGACGAAAACAATCTAGCTCGGAGAACAAATCCACAACAAAAAGATGAAATTTTTTAGCTGACTACTATTCAATCAAAATAAACTCTTTTTAATTTCATTCTTCATGAAGAAAACATTCTGAAACTGAATACTGTGTTGCTTTATGATCTGTCAACAATGCATAACGATCAGGAACGGAGTCAAATTTATTTACTAACTTATTAGAAACGTAAATGAATCCACACAAAGGAATTTGAATTCGAGACACATCGATTACTTACTTACTTACGCCTGATACCCCTCGTGGAGGAGCATAGGCCGCTCATCAGCATTCTCCATCCAACTCCGTCCTGAGCCTTCCTTTCTAGTTCTTTTCAGTTCATATTTATCCTTTTCATATCTGCTTCTATTTCCTAAAGTAATATGTTCTTTGACCTTCCTCTTTTCCGCTTCCCTTCCCGATTCCAAGTTAAGGATTGCCTCATGATGTAGTTTAGTGATTTCCTCAATGTATGTTCTATTGACTTCCAACGTCTTTTCCTAATTTACTCCTCAGATGGAAACTGGTTTGTCCTCTCCCATACAACACTGTTGCTGATAGTGTCCAGCCGGTGAATGTTGAGTATTTTGCGTAGACAACTGTTTATAAATACGTGTACCTTCTTTACGATGGATGCTGTAGTTCACCACGTTTTAGCTCCGTACAGTAGAACTGACTGTCTTGACGTTCGTATTGAAGATTTGAAATTAGTTGACAGTTGTTTTGAGTTCCATATATTCTTCAATTGTAGATACATCCATAAAGAACGTTAAAATAATCCTCGAACATATGATCTTTAAAAAAAAATCTGAATATATTTCTTCAACTTAAGGTATAGTCACGTGGAGAAATGATCAAGTCACCAATGTAATCAATAGTTTAATTATATTTTACCAATTTTTAGCTAAAAGGTTTAGTTTTAAAGGTTTGTTTGTTCACCCGCCCCCACTATGGGTTTCACTTTAAAGGACACTTTAATCTAAGTCTGACCTTAAATGAACTTGGTTAGTAATGACCTCATTACCTAAATCATTAATCTTGTAAAACGTTATTGATTTTATCAACCGTAATCATATTTAATTTTATCCATGTTCATGGAAAAAAAATTGGGTTTTTCAAAGAAGAATTTCTAAGTAAAAAATGGTAAAAACAGCAATTACTAAGGTGAAAAGTTTATTTGTTACATGACAACTAAACTAAGTTTAAAGACTGACCAGTTGCAGTCCTAACACATCGATGGGAAGATTCAAACAAACAATACTAAATGAATTTAAACTTCAACCCATTGCACAAGCAAGTGGCTATCAGGACTCACTGGCCGAGTGGATAACGCGATGGCGTTCGAGGTGAGGATACTGGGTTCGAGTCCCAGAGTGAACATCAACTCTGACATGCAGGTACATCCAGCTGACGAGTTCAAAAGAGGACGAAACACGCGTTCTGGATTTCACTACTAGCCACTATTCATCTCTGCTGACTAAACTAAGTATAAATTTCATTAAGGCCACGAATTGATCTTACTTGAACGACCGATGGAAACCTGGAGGTACTGAATGGCAGTTTCGTCTTAGTATGAAGTTCCACAGTAGTACACCAGTAACCATCTACAACTTCACATAGGGAAATAGAATCTATCATATTAAGTATCACGCACAGACGGTTAACGTCTAGACTACTGAATCGATATTCGACAGTATTAACATCTCACTCCAATCAATTTGCGATAATGTGGGACAGTGTTCGAATGCTTGTTGTGGATAACTATCTCACATATGACAAGTTTGGACTCCATTGATTATGGTTTTTCTCTAGAACTCACGAAACTGTCTTTATGTGCTTATCATTAGTGATCAATTGATAATTGTGAGTAGGTCATTTTGGAAGGTGAAACTTAAAAGTTAGTTATTTAGCAGCACTAGTAATTATTACTAACTTTCAATATTTAAATTAAGATCAATCACATTTCAAGGATCTTCATTTATCAATGTTGAAAGCGTGAGTCAATTGAAGCTAGACCACCATGGAAAACCTGGAAACACTGGACGGCCGTTTCGTCCTATTATGAGACGCCTCAGCAGTGCGCATCCACGAACCCGCTCTCGCGAGATTCAAACCCAGGACCTACCAGTCTCGAACCGAAGCCCTTAACCTATAGACCACTGAGCTGTCCGGCATCCAACGGTGTTAACGTCTAACTTCAACTGATCCACGAAGTTTGAGCAACCATTCACCAATTGTCTTCAGTGTGTTCCTATCTCACAACAGACGTGGTTTTGAACTCCACCGGTCACTGCTTCTCACTAGAGCTCCTAGATATACTTCTCGAAGTCACTAGTGAGCATATGATTATATTAATTATAGAAGGGGTTTTGTGGAGATTTAGTATTTATAATAGTTGAAAGCGTGAGTCAATTGAAGCTAGACCACCATCATTTAGTAAGAACGTCTTTTGATGATAATCACTGTCCTGACTTGACTGATAATAGATGCATTCAAAATGTTAATATTTCTAAAGTCTACTTATCTAGTTTCATGTGAATAGTTTCTTGTTGTGATTGTTGTATCGATTTGACCTGAATTACAAACTTCCTATGATAGATTAGAAATGGTTCCATTATCCCTTTTCACATTATACCTCAATCTATGCAGATTATATTTGAAATAAACCTATCGCTAGTGATTGTATGAAGTCGTTAAGGAACCGTTTTACGTTGCGAAATTTGAATTTGTGTAACCAATTATCGTGACTAAGTACATTATCAATAAGTTATTCAGTTTATAACTGACCATTTATCAAATAGACTTAGTTAAATTGAGTTTAATTCTAGTCCTAGTAATTAGTGGTTGATAATTCCAAATTTATTTCTCTCTACAACTACTGCTGAGGAAACGGTCATTCAGTGCTCCCAAATTTTCCATGATAGTCTAGATTCAATTGACTCATGATTTCAACTATAAAATTACTAAAATCTCCACAATCCCCCCTTCTGATCATATCACCTTCATTGTAGTTGAGGCAAGCGCTAACTTGGAATCCGGAAGGGAAGTAGAAAAGTGGAAAGTCAAAGAATACATTACTTTAGGAAATAGAAGCAGATATGAAAAGGATGAATGTTAACTGGAAACAACTGGAAAGGATTGCCCAGGACAGAGTTGGATGGAGAATGTTGGTGAGCGGCCTATGCTCCTTCACGTGGGTTAACAAATGTTTACTCTTTCATCATTTCATAACAAAACTTATTCATTATATTACGTAATTAAACAGCATTCCTGTTAAATGATGTTCAAGCCAGAAATCTTACCATCAACGGAGCTAATATAATAATGAATAAATGAACAAAATGAACACTTTTATATGTCAATAAATGGAGTAGTATCCAAGGGGTAAACCACTAACCTGTTGTAAATCCATAAGTTTTTCATTCATAATCTTATCTATATCTTTTGTTGTATTATTCTCCATCATTGTATTAATCAATATACAATTATGTTTTAATTGTTGAGCTGCATTAATCATGAATTGAGTTTGTTTATCAGGTTGTGAAAAGATTAATACAATCTGAAAGAAAGAAAACAAAATATATATATGTACGAATTCATAGTTGAATATTCATGTATAAATGCATGTAAACAAGATGATATAATTTTGATGGAGTTTTGTTCTTTGAACTGGATGGTTTATTCGTGGAAGGGTCTCATAGTCTCATATGGACGACATCATCAGCATAAACTTCAGGTAAAAGTGAAATGTTCCAATTTCTCCACATGTGGTTCACAGCTTGTCTTATACACCTTGATTTAAGGTCAATAAAAACCAATCAACAAGGACAAGCTGTGTACCACATGTGGAGAAATTCGAACACTTCACTTCTACCTGAAGTTTATGCTGATGATATCGTTCATAAGGACGATGAAAGCTCCATAACCAAACCATCCAGTTAAGAGAACAAGACTCCATCAAAATTATATCACCTGAGCTACCAATCTTCACCACCATCTCAAGGTGATATAATGATCTATACTGATATATTTTCTATAATATTTCAATCATAATTAGCAATATGTTATTAAAGATATACAGCTTAATGTCTCCATATTACAAAGATATTGTCCCAGATATCACAAACCTTAAATATTTCTTCTTAACCCTAAAGTAAGAATATATTAGTATGTCGTAGATTTTAGTAGATTTTAAGCTCTTCTATTGTTTCATTTTCTTCAGTTTGTGAATGCGTGCAGCTTTATTAACCCTCAAACCTAAAATATGGTTCAAAATCGACCAAAGGAATCTGTAATTAATAAATGAGTTGAATAGTTACCATTATTAACAAGTGTAAAATTGTTATAACTTGTGTGCCTGAGTGCCCCGTTTATATACGACGTGACGATGCCGCCAATTGGAATACAGTGATTTTATTGAACGGACCCATGATACACGAAAACCGTACGAGCAGTCTAGAGTACGTGTCGGTCCTGCTATCTGCCTAACTCAGCCAGTTAAGTCTAGAACATCAAGTTGCTGTGTAGTTCTAGCTTGGGGGTACAAGACTAGCTTAGGATCCGAGTATAGCGTTCAATCATTAAGACGTATCAGTTTATATACAAACCAAACAGACTACATTGTACTATAAAATAGTAAACAACATTTGTAAAAGATCTAGCCAAAAGTGGTTGTGAATGTGGGGAACCGTAATTAACAGATTGGGAATAACTCAAGAATGATAAATCATATAACAACAGTCTATGGGTTAAAATAAAGCTTATAATAAAAGGAACATAGATTTAAATAGTTAAGTTACTCAACAATTATACAATAGGAAATATGTGTATCATATTGATCCATAAATAGTCCTCAACAGTTACCATTTATAAATCTCTTCGGGATATTAACAAAAATGTTCAATTCTTTTTCACGTTCATGAAGTAAGCTATATGAGTCAAATCAATGTGTAAACAGTTGTGATAACATTTTTTTCACCAGTTCAAAGATCACTAATAACTAACCCATCATGAACAATTGTTATCTTAATTTACAAGACTAACACCTATGAGCTTAAAACACACTGGAAAACGTGCAGCGTATTATTTATACATCTATCTTTAGGCATATTTTTGGTTAGCGTAGAATTTCCTAAAGATAATGAAATTTATATAAATTTTAAATTTCAAGCTACTCTTAGAATACAATGAAAAACCTGACAAAATTGAATAATAGGATACCAGTTCAGGGGTTTAGAGGTTAATCATTCACGCGCAAGATCGGAGGTGTCGGGTTCGATCCCCAGATGCTGGATTGTCAGTTCGTATTGCTGAAGAGTTTCATACTAGAATGGAACAACCATGCAATGATCTCAGCTTTCCAATGGTGGTCTAACTAAGAATAATTCCTAATCTTTTAGTCAGTTTAAAACAAAACTGCTGATCAGACTTCTAAGATAAGTGAAGTTGTCGACGTGTTCAACTACTTCACTCCCTATCCTTAGTTCAGTTGTTGATGCAGGCCAGTCCTGAAGTAACAATTTACAATTTAATATTCAACTTGTAATCTAATGATATCTCCTTCATTGTATGATTATTCTAAACTAAATCCTTTTGTTTAAAACATCTTAACCTATTACTTATTATCGCATTGAACATAGAATACTTGAAGAACCATGTTTTTTTGTTTTTTTTTTAACTATATAATCAATAATTATGACAAGTAACTAGTACATGTACGTGTATGTTTATCTATTCCCTTAACGGTAAACGAATCACTTATACTACAGTTATACTACAAACTTAAGCCAAAAAAATGATTTTATTTCTTTTTTTTTTATTTTTTTATTAACTGTCAAAAATATATTTCAGAAAAACAAAAAAGTAAATTGAAGAATTGAAAGAATCAATATGATACATTGTTTATGATGTATCTTATAGATTGATTATTGATTTATTGTTAGTCTATCATAGAATAAGATAAGATAAACATGAGAGATAGGAATGGTATATTTACATTTGTAGAATGATCGTACATAAAATGGTAAACATGAATGTACTTCTTCTTTTCAAAAAAATTTTTCATTTCAAATACATTTTTAACTATGAAAAAAAAAAGAAAAAAAAAACTAAATCTCCACAAAACCCCTTCTGATCTATAATCATATGCTTACTAGTGACTGACTTCAAGAGATAAATCCTGGAGTTTTAGTGAACAGCAGTGACTAGTGAAATTCAAACCACTGCTGTTGTGAGATAGGAATTCACTGAAGACAATTGGTGAATGGTTGCTTAAACTTCGTGGATCAATTGAAGTTAGACATTAAAATCATCGAATGCTGGCAACCTCAGTGGTCTAGTGGTTAAGTGCTCTGGAGCAAGACTGGTATGTTCTAGGTTTGAATCTTGCTCGCGAGGTGGGATCGTGGATGCGCACTGCTGAGGATTCCCACAATAGGACGAAACGACCATCCAGTGCTTCCAGGTTTTCCTTGGTGGTCTAGCTTCAATTGACGCATGATCTCAACTATGAAAATACTAAATCTCCACAAAAAACACCTTTGTTATGACTTGACCTAGCCGTCGCCAATTTGTTATGTTTTTGATCTAGGCGGTAGCCAATTGTTATGACTTGATCAAGGTCGTCGCTGATTCGTTATGACCTTACGAATTTAACAAGGACGTAATTCGCGTAAATTATCCACCAATAGAATACGACTTCTACGACCTTCACACTGTGACAATGACGTTCGATTAGTATGAGTAATCTAGCGTACTTATTGGTCCTTATCCGCATAACCCGTCCACTTGAGTCCAAAACACTAATAGCAGCTGCTGTAATGCGAATCGTTTATTTCAAACATACTTTATCTATATACTAGACAGGCAGACCACACCACACCATAAAATAGAAATTAATATTTGTACAAAACCAGGCCAAATGAGGCTGTAAGCGTGGGAGACAATAATCAATAAAACTGAGCATAACATAGGGACAGTAAATCACATAGTAATAATTAATAGGTCAAAATGAAGCTTACAATAAAATGAATATAGATATAGATAATCTAGTTACCGAATAGTTATACAATAAGAATGATAGTCCAATAGTAGGTCCTGCAAGTTACCCGTACTTATGTCTTCACTACTACATAACAACCTTATGATAAATACATTTGTTGAAATGACATAACTAACGTTGAAAGTAAGCAGAATATCACAGGGAATATCTCCGATTCACTATATACATGAATGGTAAGAAGTATTATATAATCTAAAGAAAATTTTCTGGAAGTCAATGCTTCAAGAAACGTTCTAGAATGTCGAAAAACTAGAAGAAGAGTACACCCTCTTTTAAGTTTCATTGCATATGATGGTACAAACATCTTTTCTAGGGACATCTGGTGTAATAAAGACCTTCATAACACAATAAATACATTTTTCCCCCTAAATATAGATTGATCGGAAATGAAAAGCTTGATCCGTATTTCTGCTTTCCTTTGTTGTCTAAGATTAAAAAGTAGAATGATTAAAACCCAGCCTACACAACGTGAAAAAAAGACCTTATTATGTTTTATTACTTATCTGATAAATAATGACACAAGATAAATTACATGAGGGTTGATAATGAATTTCGAGATATAACAAGGGAATAACCATTGTAAAATGTAAATTTCAGTCTGCAGGATTTAATTTTATTCTAGCGGTTTAAAAACATAGAAATCGACGTTTTTTGGAATTGTCTTTTATTTATGAGAAGGGGTATTGTGGAGAATTAGTAATTTCATAGTTGGGAGCGTGAGTCAATTGAAGCTAGTCCACCAAGGAAAACCTAAAAGCACTGGACGGTCATTTCATCTTACTGTGGGACACCTGAGCAGTGCGCATCCACAACCTCGCCTCGCGAGATTCGAATCCAGGACCAACAAGTCTCGCGCCAGAGCACTTAACCGATGTTATTTTTGACATTTTTGTGAAAATATTGTATACGAACTAAAAATAAGTTTGTGAAATAGTCAAAACTGATTAGAATATGTACGGAAACTAAGTGACTATCTTCATTGTAGATCATTTTATTACATTCCGATTTAAAACGTAAACTTATTGAATACTGAAAAGCACTAAACGTGTACTTAATACTAGTTTTGCGTCTTCATTCTTCAAGTTTTCACCTGTTGTTCTGCACAGAGTAAAAGTAGAAAAATAAGACGGTCAGATCATTTTGAAACTATAGATTCATATTTCTAGTTCAGCTAATAGCAAAATTTTACGTAACAGAAATAGCACATATTGAGTAAAATATTGCTGTTGGAAGAGTAGAATAATACACAACACTAGACAAGAATCAAGAAAGGAAGAACAAGAAGATAGTAATTAAGAACAGCCGAACTAGAACAGAAAAAGTCAAGGCATAAGCTGAATACAATGAAACAAACAAACAGGTCAAGAGAAGCATTAGATCTGACATGTAAAAATATGTAGAACAGCTAGTAATGACTGCGTGAAAAGCTGCACAAAAAGGAAATATAAAATAGGCGTAAGACACAACGAAGAAACTGGTAGGGAAATATAGCAAACCAG